CTAGATCTCCTTGTTAGGTTAGGTATAGTATAATATCGCCTAGTTATCTTAGGCGCGATACTAGATAGCGACTACGGTCCGGCTACTATAATATAGCGGGATATAGAGTAGAATCTATAAAACTTCCTAGGCGGACTAATTACGCTAGGAGAGTAGAGTGTTTATTATCTTACGTATAGCCGAGAGAAGCGGATTGCGATTATTAATATAAGATAGAATACCCTATATTAGGTCGAGGTAGCTTTATATTAGGCGCTCGGACTTACTAACGTACTTAGAGAGGTAATTTAATAAAGCCTCGGTACCGGTATATAGAGCGATATTTATATTAGCTAGCTACGCTATACTAATAACCGGATTATATAGGTTAAGGTACGCGTCGTTACGCTCTAGTTATAAATAGTAGTAGGTAGCGCTAAGCGGCTTCGCTAGGACCGGTTCTATACGAATCTAATAGGGGAAGCCTATATAGTAGTTAGTCTAGCCTATAGTATTATTCTTACGTAGGTAATATTAGGCGCTATAGCGGTAGCGCTAGACCTAGTTAACTATACGCCTTAGATATTCGATAGTATTATACTAATCCTCGGGCCGGAGCTATAGGTCCGACTAGGCTTATTTATAGATAACGTACGCTATACGGCTAGGAGTCGGGTTTACCGCGGAGATATATATATCCTAATACCGGGTAAAGTAGGAGCGGAGCTCGGGGGTATCTAGGAGCTCGGGGTCTAGGTAGCTACGGATCTAGAATAGCGCGTAGTTATAGACCGAGCCTCGGCCCTACTACTCGTATCGGTTCTAGTAGTCGCTAATATAGAATATCCGCTTTAAGACCTTCTCTTAGAAGGCCCTAAAGTATATATTAAACTATTAGGCGACGATATAAGGATTCTCTTAGAGGTTAGTCTACGTAATATAGCGCTATATAATATTATTAGCTGCTAGCTAGTCCTTATATTAAGGGAGATAGCGTATAAGGTTATCCTAGTAGAGATCGGTAGCTAAGAGGGTAATAAAGAGATAGGTAGTACCGAGGTTCTAGATATAGGCGAGTAGGTTATAGCGGCGGGTATTCTAGTAGGGCTAGGTACCTCGGAGGTAGGTAGAATAACGCGCGATATCCTAAAATAGCTTCTAGGCCTTAGGGATATTACTTTTAAAAGCTATATAGAGGTTATCCGCCGAGATCTTACGGTTACTATAGCCCTTAACGAAGAAGTCGGCCTAGGATATAGCGGAGTATTATATAAGTATATTAAAAACTATAAAGCGGAACTAAGGATACTATACGAAACGGCCCGACTTATAGTATATTAGGTACCGGTACTACTCTTTAAACTTAACTATACGTAGGCGGGAAGCTTAAAACTCGGCTTTATTATATAGGAAAAGGGTTAGGAAGGCGAGGGAGAGTATAGGCTAGCTGCTACTAAACTCGAATAGCGGAGTGGCTTTAATAGAGGGTAGGATAAGGTAGCGACGCTAGGACAGTACGCCTTCGGGCTAAGTAGAGGACTCCTCGGGCGGTAGGCGGGCTATAAAGACGATATTACGGAGTACGGCCTCCTCGTCTAGTTCGTTCTCGAGGTTAGGAACGGCTACGTACTCGGGTCCTAAGTTATCCTAGATAGAAGGGTCTAGCTAGGACGACGCTAGTAGATCCTCGGGCTTAATAGGCTAGATTTAGGACGGTATAAGATCGGAGACGTTATTATAGAGCGGTAGCTAAGATAGGCGGGCTAGGTCGATAATAAGATAGCGGTAATCGGGGTAATAGGTAGTAAGGAACTAGAGCTACTACATAACCGCTATACGGCGGACTATAAAGTTACGATTGAACTAGCGGCGGAGCTATAGACGGTCTATAGTGTCTATAGGTCGAAGTATAACGAGGTCTAGCTCGGTAGGGAGTAGTAGTAGCCGATCGTAAACCTTAGGAATATTTACTAGGAAGTACGTTATATAGCCGCGGTAGAAATACTATTAGTTACGAACTTAGCGGACTTTGATAATAGTATAAACGAAGGAAATTAGTATCTCTTCTACCTATATTAAGATAGGGAGGTAGAACGGGATATTGTTAGGATATATATCGTTACTCGGATTATAAAAGTAGGTATAGTCTAATAAAACCGGCTTCCGGTCCTCGTCCTTATCTTTAGTACGATACTAATAATAGACTCCGGCTTAGGGCCCCTATATTACGTACTTTATATCGAATTAACGCTTATTATAGCGCGTATAGGTCTCTATAGTAGATTCTCGAAGTATATCTTAGAAGTTACGGACTAGAGCTTATTACGCTTCTATTAAAGGCCTAGATATCGCGGTATAGACCGAGTAGGCCTACGAAGGTTAGGATAAATACGGTAGTATATAGGTAGGGATAGCTATATACCGACTAGGAGAAGCGCGAGGAGTACCGGGCGTAGGGAGAGGGGGCGAGGACGGGAAATACTACGATAAAGATAGCGTAGGGGGATCGGAATATAAAGAGATATAAGAAGAGGGGGAACTAACGATACTAGGAGGGGAGGCGTCTAGGAGACCTTCTTACTAGCGCGACGCCGGACGCGGTACTCCCTCTTCTTTATATTATAGGCCCTAGTAGAGGCCGCGTAGCCGGGAATAGCCTTAGAATAGGCGACGGCGGGCCTAGATATTACGAGCTGTTTAGATAGGGGATATTAGTAATATAAAGATAGTAAGGAAGTTATAAACCTTAGTAGACGCTTCCTCGCGGTATTAGAGATAGGCTTAAGTTAAAAGATCGGCCTAGCGACGATTCTAGAATTAGTCTAGCGGCTTAGCGGTACTATATTTAATATATATACGGTAATCGGTCTACGGGACGGGCTGTATATAGATCTAAACCTTAATAGACGGGGGTTTAGTAGGCGGTCTCTAGCTCTAACGGTAATCTAGGTACTCGGTAGTAAGGATACCTAGTTAGCGGCGGTTCTAGAACTAGTCCGTATACTTATAGACGCGGTACCTAGCGTATCTACAGCTACTAGGTTAGAGATCCGGCGGGCTCGATTAGATAATAGGCTACGGCGGGCGAGGAATCTCGATATATAAGCTAGGAAGGGGACGCGGTTTATAGGATATTAACGTCGCGGCCTATACGTCTCTTTTACGCGCGTAGCGCTATAAAGTATTAGATAATAGCGTATTATATAGATAAGATATTACGTAGATACCTAGTTATTCGTAGTGCGACAACCGAGATAGGTTCGAAAGGACCTAGTATAGGCCGTGGGATCCTAGGATACGTTAAATTAATCTATAGGCTTAGTATTACTGTATTTAACGTAAGTTATAAGATCCATTATAACGCGAGGAGGCCTATAGGCGTATGTAAATAGAGCTATAGCGAGAGGTAGAGGTAACGTAGTTTATAAGATAGATAGTTGGTATTAGACGACGCGGTATAGGACCGTATTATAAAAAGAGCAATAAGGCCTGTTTAAAGCCGGGTTATATATAGGCCGGATAATAATGGGAAGTATATACCAAACACGTGGCATTGTCTGTCACGTGCAAATCCGGGCCGGGCCCTCAAAGTCGAATCACGTGACTAACCCTACCCTGATCATATGAGGAGTGAATTCTACAGCCAATCAGAGGCCAGGATCTCAGAATTCGCAAGGCGGGTTTTTTGGCATAGTCTGTTGGGTATATTGCCTGTATTATTTGCTTCGCTTACGCTCAGCAAAATTATAACTATATTAAAACTATCTATATATTTAATAATATACTATAGTAAACCTACTTAGGTTATAGTATTATTACGTAGCTACTAGATATATAACTATACTCTCTATAATCTATAAAGAGCTAGGTCTTATTAGACGTCGTAAAAGGTCGTAACCTAGGGTAGAACGCTCTAGTCTAACTATTTATATCTCGCCCTACGTACGCTAGTACCGTTCTAGATAATAACTTTAACTATAAATTGCTTACGCCCTACCTAGGTTCCGATCTTGAAAATTAAAGGACACCTAGAGAGTATAGTTAAATATTGTCTAGCCAAGTTTTATGACAATTGAAGCAAGACTGCGGAGTGAACCTAGGCTTATAATTTCGTATGAATGGGAGGGTGTCCACACTTTCGGGAACCAACCAGATCACCTAAAAACCTGTCAGTAATGTATTGTAACCCGCACTCAGGCTCGGTCGTCCACCCCCCCATGGGATAGGGCCAAGCGGAGAGGCCTGGGTGACAAAGTACGCTTTGTGCGTGCTTTAGCAAGGGTTCAAGGGCCGGAGAAGCTGAAACTGGGAGGTTGTTATGCTATGCTTTGGCGATCGTACTTGAGGCAGGAAATCTGTGTGCAGTTGCATGCTGAATGCGGTCACCCCTCAAATATGCTGAGCCTGATCGAATAACCAGGTCACCCCCCACGCCCTAGACCGCAATTTGACCGGCGACTCGTGATCTATGGCCGATGAACTAGGGTGTGGATGAGTGATTTGGAGGCCTACGTAATTCCCAAAATATTGTGGCAGTTCCAAATCTCTCTTTATTCCATTCCATACCTGATTGCTTGAATTAACAGCCATCGACTCAAATTTGTATTTTTGCCAGCAGAGGTGCAAGGCTTGGAAAAGGCAATGCTACCGCGAACCCAATAAAATAGCAATACATACGGGAACTTTCAATCTTTCATTATGTGGATTCTTTTATACAGGTTCTGCCATCGTAAATGAGGACACACCTAAGGCGTTGTCTCAAAATACATGTGCTGTTAAATCAACGTCTTCATCCTCGACTGTTACTTCCCCCAATCCCCTGTTATCCAGTACGGCTGGTGTGAGATTTCTCTACTGGAATGAAGAGTTTGTGTGCTTTATGATCAAGATTTTTAAATACATAACTATCAACACCATATATATATTCCATAAGACTAAATACAACAGCGATCCCGTATATCTATAACCAACCTATCTACGTGCCAATTTGTTTCGTATACCAACCAAAAAACCGGTATCTATCAGTCTCCACGGAGAACCCTCAAGAAAGATGGATTGAGATGAACAGGAAGGGCAATGCGATGGTCAGAAACCACAGCATCGCCCGCCTGCCAGCGATGCAAAACACGAAGACGAACATCATCCAACGCTGCAGCCGCCTCAACAAATGGAACGAGCGCATCACCATCCTCCCGTGCAGCAGGAATCTGCACGAAGTAAGACGTGGCCGCCGAACTCGCAGCAACACCTTCATGCAGGAGGCTTAGCGACAGTCCGCGACCAGCGACACGAAGGAACTCCTTGCCGGTCTCGGCGGTATACTGCATGGGGTCCAGGCCCTCGAACAAAATCGGGGAATGCACCTGAGCCAGCTCCGCGACCCGGTCCAACCGCATTCGTGTCATCGGTAGGTCCTGCGGGACACGAACCTTCAGTCCGAAGGGGTATAGCGGGTGGAGTTCGGTCTGGAGCTCGCTTTCAATCACGCCGTACATCGAGACATCTGCGCACAGAAACTGCAGTCCTAGGTCGTCGTGGCAGATTCGATAGGAGATGCCTCCGTCGGTGCCACCTGTGGGCTTACGTCCAAGACTCACGGACACCTGATTCGCCTCAAGACAGGGGGTGTTGTGCCATGGCGTAACAGGGAAGTTACTAAACCGCTTCTGGGGAAGCAGTGCCACAGACAGCTTGTTCGTGTTGTCACCCGCGTGGATGGAGAGGCGGACGTGGGGCGGCGAGGCGGCCGCCACAAGAGCCGAGAAGACCTGGCCGCGCTCGATCATGACACGGGCAACGACGGCAGAGTGTTTCTTGATGGCACTCTTACTCACCTTCTTCTTCTGGTAGAAGGTTGCCAGATCAGACATCAGGAACCTGATGTATCCGCGATACGTGAGGGTGGCATTGTGATCCAGTGTTTGGGGTTTCTCGCCGGAGCAACCTCTGAACAGGCGTTCCTTGAGATCATCGATGCGAGAAACGTATTCCTCCTCGCTAACGGGCACGCTGGGTGCACCATCGAGAAGATCGAATGGGTCTGCAAAACGGATATGGCGCAGACCCAGTCTGTCCACAATCCAGTGCAGGCCCTCGGTATACCTGTATGTTACCTCATCGGACACACCAAGCAGATCATTGTAGCAGCAGCCATCGCTGACTATAGTGATTTGAGCGCCTCCTGGGTAGATCTGGGTAATTCTTGCACCGAGCGAGTTCAAATGTTCGAGGGACAGGCGCTCGCCAACGTCTGGGTCCGGTCCCAGGACTTTATCTTCACGGTTTGGACTTTTGAACGGGTATGCGGGGACCACCAGGTTGATCTCCTTGTTGTTCGAGACGAAATACTGCAGGGTCTCGAGGAGTCGGGGCTTGTATACATCCTCGTAGCGGTCGTCGGGCCCGCAGATGCGATATGAGGCGATGATCTCTGCAATACGGTCGACGAGGGCTTCTTGGTTTCGGCAGGTCTCTGCGTCGGTTATGAATGCTACCCTGGACGATGCTCGGATGGCTGGAAGGGGTGCCTCGACTATGTCGATGTGGGGGGGCTTTTTGGGCAGTGATCACGTTGGACAGCATGGTTGCAGTCACTGATGATTGAATTGATGATTTTGAAGGGTATACTGTAAGTCTAAAAATGGGTTGAGGACGAGAATGAATCTATTTCAAATGTCGAGAGTGGAATTGGATCTTTTCTCTACAATTCTTTGATATTTTCTCTTCTGTCCGATTGCCCTCAAACCAGGAAATGCTGCTCTGCCTGTTACGGTATCCGTCGTCCGCGGATATGTCGTGTTTCAGCTCCGTTAATGCCCGACTGGATGTTGCATTTGAAGTACTGATCAACAACTACCTCCGTGGCCTTTTGGGCACGCCATTTGGGGGCGTCAAGGGCAGTGGATATGGAAGGGAGCATTGGATTGGCACCTTGAGGGAATGGAGTCGGATCAAAAACGTCCGCTTCCCTAGTGGTCTGGGCCCAATACCAGCTTGGGGTGGCGCAGTGGATGTATGCAAGTAGCGATCTCTGATAGGTAATTCGATTAAATTGGCAACGGAAGGATTTGCTTGAATATTTGAAGCAATGAATCCTTCCAAGCCCTCAGATGCATATCCTTCCCTGATTCCCTGATTCCCTGATTCCCCGATTCCCTGATCCTTCTCATTACACGATGCTCAGGTATATAGGCCCTTCGTCTATTTGATAAACATGCTGGTGGTCCAGGTCCCTTCATATCTGCTTATATAAGCACACGATGATGCCCAGGTGCCCCCAGGTGGAGCCCTGGAGGGTACCAAGGTGAGCGGGATCAAGAAGTAACCAGTAAGCACTAGATATCGCAATGCTTAACTAGTGGATGCGTACGGAGTTCACGGGTAATTTGTAGAGGTACGTAATTTTGGCCCCAAGGCCCCAACGCCTCACCTGGAAGGTTATTCCACGTGTCAGCGCATCGCCAAGTTGCGCTGTCGTCCGCGGCTTCCGTCCTCATTCTATTCATAGCTATTAATTCAGTGGCTGGCCTGGGTAGATATGTAGATTCCGGCCTGGCGGGGTAGTCATCAAAGTGTTTTCCTCCGTCGATGGGGGCCTGTGAACTGAGGCTACTTCACCTGGAAGGCCCCCCGTCCCGTCATCGACAAGAGCCATTTAGTCAAGCTTTTGAGAAACCTGGTAAGAATGAAACTTTGCTCTTTGTAGTTTGCCGCTGTTTTCATCCATATCAGCCTATGTTTGGTAAACTGCTGGGCACTAGTTCTATGTGCGTAGAGGGCTTTACGGGAGGTTTCTTCGCTATGTGTAGATCCTATCCCAGGTTCATTTATTCGGGTCTCATTTCTTCTATGTCGATTTTATTTCATTGTCCAAGTGCTTCTCACATTCTGATAGCTCTCTTGTTTCCGAACATGATGGGCCTATGAGCTATTGAGCCCCTCTGTAAACGAATGACCATACGAATGACCCTACCTACGAAGAAAGAAGTTGTTTTTGTAACAAGAAAGGAGAAGCGAAAAAATGAGAAAAATAGAAAAAGACAGGGGTAGAGAGAAAGAAGGAAAAAAGAAGAAGAAAAAGACAAACCTCTAGCTTTAGGGCGAGACTGGTCAAGGTTCTCTGGCAATTTTATGACAATGATATGGATATCCTTGTTAAGCGTACTGGAGCAAACAAAAATCATATGCAAATATCCAGAAGTTATGATATATCAATTCCTTCAACTTTCTGCGATCTATGAGACATGTGGTCGAATTTTTTATTCTTTACATGGGAGGAACAGCCTTTTTGTAAGCAGCCTGTACCTCGGGCAAAGCATCCAACATCTTGATGTAAGCGTTGATAGCGGGGTACTCCTCGAAGGGCTTGAGGGCTGGTCCGGCCAGGCCCGAAATCTTCAACCAAGGCAAGATGGCGAAATCCGCAATGGTGAGACGGCCGAGAGCGACGAAGCCGTTCTCGGCTGAGGTGAGGTGACCCTCGAGGATAGTGCGCAGGCGCTCGACCTCAGTCTGGTAGCGAGCAATGACACTGGGGTTGGGCTTCTCGCCGTGGGCGCCCTCGTGGAAGGCGAGGAACCAGACCAGCTGGCCCTGGTAGGGTCCGAGGCCGGACACCTGCCAGGCGAGCCACTGGTTAACGGCGGCGCGTTCCTCGACGGTCTTACCGGCCAGGCTTCCGGAGGCGTCATACTAAGTGGAGTTAGTCAGGCTTGAGGCTTAGATTGAGTGGTTCGGCTTCTTACCTTGTCTGCCAGGTAGCGGAGGATGGCGGCACTCTCGAAGACAGTGAACTCGTTGTTGCCGTGGTCAATGAGACCGGGAACACGTCCGTTGGGGTTGACCTTGGAGGTGTATTCGGGATCCTTGACGGTGCCCTTGCCTTCACCGAAGCCCAGAGGCACGGTGTCGTATGAGAGACCGAGGTGCTCAAGGGTAATGGCTACCTTAACGGGGTTGGGGCCGGGGCCTGGTGGAGACGGTCAGCGGAATCCAGAGAACTGGTAGTAAATTGAAGTACTTACCGGCGTGGGTGTAGAGTGTGAAGGGAGTGCCAGTCATGATGAGTCGAGAAGATGAAACGAATCTAGTTCTGGGAATTGTTGTACGAGGTGTGAAGCGAAGGCTGTTGCTTAGAGAAGGAGCGAGGCGCATCAAGTGAATTGGATTGTGAAGTGAGTTGATGCTCTAAATCCAATGCTTTTCCTTGCTATTTGTAGTCTCCAGACATCATGGCATCGCAACTTTGGTGTTGTTCAAGTGTGGGTCCATGAAGTAGACAAAGAGTCCGATCATGATATATCTCACTCCGAAACTCCGAGACTCCGGATCCTCGGAAACAGTCCCAATCTCCATGGGAGTTTGACTCAACTGATTGTTCCATTATCCGAAACACTTGAAGGGTGTTCGAGGTCGTATCTGGAAGGGAAGCTGTTGAGAAGATAACTCTCGTTGTTCGGACTCCGGATTACAATGTTGGCCTTGATACTATACTTGCGCTGAGATAAGGGGAGACCGCAGAGTCAAGTTCAGAGCTTTATCACTAGCATCACTAGCTTCACTAACTCTATGGATTTACTTTCTAAGGTGAAGCTATTCATGCGAATGGAGAATGTGTGTACAAATTAGCTTAGCATCCGATCTGCCTAGGTAGCTAACCTTGGAAGTTGACTAGCAGGGCCCACGACTATCCTAATCAAGGGCAGATACTACGAGGCGATATCAAGACAAGCTTTCAAGTCTAATTTGATTTCTCAAATGCCAATGTGCTTGATTTTTTCCTAGCAAACCCCTCGAAAATGTCCAATACCTAAGATGATAGGCTTGTAATTTTTGTTAGGGGTAATACACAAACAACGCTAGTGCCAAACTTGGAATCCAGGTACATGATTCCACCACCGTGGGACCTTGCAACGTCTGAACTCCTCCGGGCCTGATTTTAGGGCAAGCAGCTTGAGATATGGTCTGGTCATAATGAGCCCCATCCAACAAACGGACCTGCCATGGAGACCTTTCGTGTCATCTTCTCCTCTGCTAGTGGCTGAAGCCTGATGGTGAGACGGAGAGTCTGAGCCGTCCGCGTATATACGGACAGTGCATATACGGATTCTGGAGACGAGAAGATGACCATCGACAGAGTTGAGCTTCGTATATAAGGAAGAGTGTAAGATGCACCGAACATTCCTCTCCAATTCAGTCTCTGAGTTAATCATCACATCCAAATCACCTTCTCAATCACCGATCACCTACCGGCAGAATGACTATCACCACTCCCATCCCCAAGCACACCTTTGCGGATCGTGCGGCTGCCAACAACTTCAACGATACCCAGATTCTCAACTCCAACAACCGCGCTGGCGCCGATATTCCAGAGAAGTCGGATGTTGTCATCGCCGGCGGTGGTATCCATGGCTTGATCTACGCGATCCACGCTGCCACGTATCAGCCGGGAACCCTTAATATCTCGCTGATCGAAAAGGCCAGCAAGCCTGGCTACAAGATCGGCGAGAGCACCCTGCCGCTGTTCTCGTTGTGGTGCAAGATGCATGGCCTCACAGCCGAGTATCTTCTGCGACTCTTCGGTCTCAAGGACGGATTGGCCTTCTACTTCCTCGACCGCGAGAACCAGGGGGAGTACTCCGACTTCTGCAGTAATGGCACTCCCGGTCTCTTCCTGAGTGGATACCAGATTGAGCGAACCATTAGCGAGCTCCTCTTCACGCTGCTAGCTCAGCGCAAGGGCGTCAACGTCTACCACGGCCGCCAGGTTGACTTCAACGCCAGTGCCATCAACGGTGGATCTGAGTGCAGCAAGATCTCCATCAACCCCGGAAAGTTCGACGGAAAGCCGGCTAACAGCATCAACTCCTCACTATTGGTTGACGCCACCGGCCGTTTCCGCCAGCTGGCATCCAAGAAGGCCCCGCTGCACCGCTTCGAGGGCTGGAACTACGATTCCTTCTGGGGATACTTTACCGCTCCCGCGGACGAGAGCAACATCCCTCTCCGTCACTACGAAGGCGACCACACCAACCACCTGTGCTTTCCTGAAGGTTGGGCTTGGGTCATCAAGCTCCCTTCATGGGAAGGCAGCTCCACTGCCAGCCTCATGGACATGATCTCGTACTTGCTGGACTGTGCTGAGGCCGGTATTCCCGGAGATCAGCTCCCGAGCTCTCAGGAGCTCGCCCGCATGTTCGACCTCAAGTTCAAATGGGTTACTAGTATCGGATTCGCCGTGCGCAACGATGTCAAGTACCCCGAGGACATGTCGGCCTACGGCACCCGTGAAGCCGAGCGCAAGTTCAACTACTTCGTCCAGAAGTACGAAATCATCAAGGAATTCATGACCAACTTCGACCTCATTGAGAACCTCTACGGCCCCGGCACCACCTGGTACATCCGCAAGTCTCTCACCTACCAGTCACCTGTCGTCTCCGGTCCCGGCTGGCTCGCTATTGGCGACACCTGTGGCTTTACCAACCCGCTGCACTCGCCGGGTATCACCGCTGCTATGTCAACCTCGACTTACGCGGCCGAACTTACACACAAGGCTCTAGGCCAGGCCAAGATCGAGGCCGATCATGAGGCCGCTGAGCGCAGCATCCGCCGCACCCTGGCACCCTATGACGACTTTGCCCGTCGCCTCATCCCCTCCCTGAACCAGATGAACCGCTTCAACTACGTCTGCTTCCGCGATCCCCGCCTGGGTCCTCAGGTCTCCTGCCTCTGGCAGTTCTTTGCCGGCATCGGTATTCCAGACTGGCAGCTCATCCGCCAGGACTACAACCTGAACATGGACACGTACGTGCCGCACTCGATCAACTGGGCCTGGGGATCCATGACCCCCGAGTACGATTCCGTGGCGCGTCGCGCCATCGAGCTCCTCGCCCCGATTCCATTGGAAGAGTCTATCCCGGATGCCGTGGTCCGCGAGGTGATCGAGCTTTCCAACGCCGTCAAGCGCGTCGCAGTCGATTCCGGTCGCTTTAACTTCCGCTGGGACGGTCTGCTTCGCTACTACGATATCTACCTCAACTACCACCCTGATCAGCCTTTCAAGGATACATTCTCGCGCCAGTGCCGGGAGTGCGGTACCTGGCTCCACTGTCGCCCGGACTGGCGCCGCTGCTATGGTTGTGGTGAGACTCGTTCCGAGGAGGATGCTGCTATCACTTGGAACCCGCCTCTCGAGGTCGATGAGGTCAAGGCGTTGGTGCGCGCCTCCGATGCGAAGCCCGCCGCACGAAGAGGTCAGGAGGTGACCAAGGAGAAGTTTGCGGAAGTGCCTGTGATGGAAACGCTTTCGGTGCAGGTTTAGAATATAATTAAAGACTTCGACACGGTTTATCTATTATTGTATTTTTTTGGCTGCCTGTTACGAGTTTCACCCGCCTCCATTCATCTCTCACCGTCTTAATATATGTTGTTTTCTTGTCTTCTTTCTGTTTTGTTTCTGATGATCTGTGTACATGAAATCTAAATTGTTTTTGCTATTGACTATTGACTTGGGTGAATATTGACATAACCTCATAGCTATGTTTAACAAAATAAAAATAAAAAGCAACAAATATTTTTACATACATTGCATATGTAAACTCAACTTAGACCGCGCTAATGAAGAAGTCCCCTGCATGGCCTCCAGCAACGACAACACCGTATTAACATGCCACTGCAAGACACCGACCTTCTCCCCACTCAGCCTAGCAATACTAGCCCAGTTATTCTCAGCGCCACCTGCAAAAGCAAAAAATTCCCGTCCGGGAGGCGGAGGATGATCCGCTCGCGCCAGTATCCCCATCCCATCAGCAGACTGAGATTCATGCAGCAGCACCTGTCCAATCAAGGCCGCTGCCGATGCAGGCTGCAAGACGCGGCGCAGACTCCCCGTGCAGGGTCGTTTCGCTACCTCGAAGATATCCGGAACCTGATCCACGATTCCATCACCGTTGCCAAGGCGGCGACACTGGGCCAGAACGAGGATGCAGGCGTCCATGCAGGCATCCAGGCACATCAGCCGCAGTGGGGCTGCGGTCGAGGCCTCATGCAGGAGGTGAAAGGTCTCGTGTCGGAAGAGCTTGAAGCGGATAAGTCCGAGTTCGAGGCTGAGATGCATTTTCTGTACCTGCGGGGTGCGACGAGCCAGATGCTCGCTGCCTTCTCCGCCTGGCCATGTGCTTCTTCCGGACGAAGGGGAATCCCGTCCTTCAGAGCGCGATCCTGCGCTTCCAAGTAGCTGGTAGAAACTCAGATTGTGGTCTAAGGTATCTAGCTCGGCGCAGAGGTCGGCTGCCTGGGACGGAGAAACGGGTCCTGGTCGTAGGATGCAGTCCTCAGCGCGTCGTGCCAGATGCGCGAGTGCCAGTGCGTACTCGAGATAGTGGCGCGTCTGTCGGAGGCGGTCTAGAGTCGTTCCGTGGTCGTCATCAGTCACTGGTGACGGTGAGGGTGGATCTCGGAGCATCTCTGGGCGAATAAAGTAGCTACCGTGGTGATATATGCCCGGGGATGTCCAGTCCATTACGCAGAGCGTGGACCACAGCTGCCAACACCATTCATTCTTGGCGGGTGACATCCCTGCACTGCCGGCGGAGTCTAGAGACGCATCTACTGCCGATGAGATGGCGTCTAGGTGGAGTTTGAGGTACTCAGAGGGTGTCGCAAAAGATCGTGCTGTGAGAAGAAGGAGAATCTTGATGGATACCACCCCGAGCAGGGTTGGATCATAGCGGGTTGGAGGTGGTGTGCGCGACATGACCCCGTTGTTTGAAGGTTCGTCGAGGCTATTGTGGATGGCGTTGCGTGCAAGTGTGGATGTTGTATTTGATGATGATGTAGTAGGGACTGTATCCCCATCGGCTGGTGTAATGAGCATCCGTGCCTTTCGATATAAGTCGCGAACCAGAGCGTCGATTTCAGATACTTCAATTCCCAGCTCTTGTGCCTTGTCTGGATCCAAGTCCACGGCAGCGAGACTGGCGCACGCGAGGATTCGGGACAATTTGACTTTGAGGGTTTTAGGAGCTTGGCACATGTCAAAGCCCTGACGGAGATGCTCGACTTCTTCGACATCACCGATGATTTGATGGATATCAATAAATCCCGTGAGTGAGGCAGAGGAAAAGATCTATTCCTATCAGAAGACAATCTTTTCCTGGAGAGACTCATCGGGGAGACTCACATAATGCGAAACTAAACCCCAGAGGAGAGGGCTTGCAGGGAGCAAGGCCATCAGTTGATATGATGTCCACTGGTGGATATCTGATAGCTGTAGTCCCCACCTACTATTGGAGTCGCAGGATATTCCTCCATTCGAAGGAGGCCGAAGATCGGGAGTCATTAGGGCAAGCGTCTCCGCCACGCCATCTCCACCTTTGCCGTGAAACTTCTCCATGAGGCTCGAGTTGAGCAATTTGAGCTCTTGTACTTCTTTCCCCAAATTTGAAATCATTTTGGGGAGTTTCTCGAGGCTTTCACAATGGTGTCGCCTGTGTTTCCGTCAGGATACATTGTTCATTGGGACGGTGAGAATATCAAGGGCAAGCACATACTCCGGTCTCTGCCCTTCCTCCCACGTACACCGATCTCCCTCCCCACGCACCTGGCAGGCTCCGCATGGATCAAACCGGTCGCACTTGAGCTTCCGCCGTCGGCACGAGTGGCAGCTGAAGATCTTCTTGTCCTTGCCCTTCTTTGGTCGATCCGGCGGAGGATTTGGGGTATGCGGCTGGGTAGTCATATTGAAACTGGGTGATATTCCATTTGATCCAGAGACAAGCAGGGTACTCTAGGGACTTCTTAGAACTACGTATGATTTGGAAGAGAACTCGACACCCAACAATTCACCGGACTTTTGTACCGCAGCATTCGTCGAATTGTTTTCAATGGTGTAGGAATATTGGATTGTATACAGAACAACAGCGACAGTTGATAGACAATTTAAACCGCTGCGCAACCCGGGGCTTGGGCGGGGGGCCGTATCAAGTAAGATGGGTTTGACGAAATCAGAAGATTTTAGCGAATGAAAATAGTTACATTGAAGTCACCTCGGTGGAGCCGAATGGAAAGTCTTTTCATGTCCATCGGGGGCCAAAAGGCAGGTATAAGCCACTGACATTTTAGTGTCCTAGTGTCGTCTGAGGCAGATAAAATCCTGTGTCGTCTCAAAAGCACGAACAAAGCACGAAAAAGCGGAGCCCATAAAGGCCCGCATGACACGCGGCAAGTGGGTTGGTGCAGCTAATGCAGTCAGCCTCCCGGCCATCCCCCAAGTAAAAGCTTCAATTTTTGGGATCTGTTTAAGCGTAAAAATCCCGCTTAGAGCATTTGGTGTGTAAAAGAAGAAAAGACAAACGCTTGTTTACTTTAAACTCAGGTTGAGTAAATTGTTCATTTCGTCGAATCTACCACCCCACCCCACTCTCCCAGCCATTAATTTAGGGGATTGGTATAGAGAGACCTCCTCCCTATAATCTGACACCCCTTTCAGTAAGCCCTAAGCCCTTTCAGTAAGCCCTAAGCCCTTTCAGTAATCTGACACCCCCCTGCCTGATTTTTCAGTTTCTATTTACCGCACTCCACACCGCCTTCCACTTTAATACACCGCCTTCGTATCAAACTACCCCGGATAATAGTACAAGACAGTAGGTACCTACAGTTTATATATAAACACCATACAAAATTAAGTCACTTTTGTTATATTGACTAGATCACATAAATTGATAATCTAATTCTAGTTAACCTACTTACTACCCCTTTTTTTTATCACTTTTTTCGTAAATTCTAACGTGATCGAGGACGTGATTAGGACGTGATCGAGGATATTATCGTAGACGTTGTCGAAAATATTATCAAGGACGTGATCGACGATACGATCGACGTGGTCGAGTATTGACAGCGAGTCAGGAGAAGAGAAGAGAAGAGATCAGCAATGCAATGGAATTGAGGCTAACCGCTGATGGTTGACGATCTCTGGATGATGAGAAGGGGAAAAGAAGAAGAGAGAGGAGAGGAGACTATCTGGTTATTGACATGTGACAGTTCTGACAAACAAGGTCATGTGCCATGATCCCAACACACCCCCTCAGAACTGACGCCAAATGTAGAACTCCGAATACACTTCCAATGCACCCCCTTAATCCTTTAGAAAAACCCCTTTGTAAATTTGTCGAATGGTAGAAATATGTCGAATGGTAGAAAGGTAATATCGAACTAACAAATAAGCACTAGCAATGGTATAGGGACTAGTAATAACACTAGGCGGCACTCGCTCTAGCAAAAAGCACTGATACTAGGCGGCAACTAGCTCTAGTATAATAGGTTCTCGCTCAAATGTGGCTCTGACCTGGCTCTGGCTCTGGCTCTTACAACTTGCTCTAGCTCTCGCTTCAGGTACCTACCTGGCACTAGCACTGGCTCTTATAACTTGTATAGTTTATATTTAGCCCTAGCCTTAGCTTTATAGTTGTTGTTGTTCTGAAAAACCGTTGTTGTGTGTATCGAGAATCCGTTGCCGTAGTTCTCGAGAAAAGAATGATTGCGCGTTCCGAATACCGGTCGCGTTAAGGTGATCACGGTCGAGTTATAACGAGGTGATCGAAAAAAAATTGTTGTTGATGTTAACGATACCGATGATCTCGTTGATCGTCGAAAAGTGGGTATTGTGGACGGTGCCGAAAGGTAAAAACCGTCGAAAAAGTTTGAAATACGCGATCGTGCGCGTGATTGGTGCTCTTCCCCTAAACTCGGGAAATCGGAGGTGCGGGGTTCCGGGACGCCGGGGTGCCGGGGGGTAGCCGAGCCCACAAAGGGAGCAGGACAAGCAACGAGGGCTACTAGGCCAAGACAGGCCCCGACGAGGCTCTAAGTTCGTTTAGGAAGTGGTACACGATACATGTACGTACATGGATATATACAGTTGTGGTAGCCTGCATATCGCTTCGACGAGGGGTCAGGGTAAATGAAATCATCCATCCATCCATCCGACTGTAGGGTCAGTCATCTTCTGACCGTAAGGATGTCATGCGCAGTGTTGTTGATGGGCTGCACTAAATGGAGTGAACCGCGGTGAAAGAACGCTGGTGGTGAGAAATCGATTAAATTAATTAAATTAACTTAAATCAATTAAATCAAAAATATTTCCAAAAAGGCTAGGTGAACAACTTCTTTGTGAGAGAGGGACAGTGTTTATTGTCGAGTAGAACGGATCCACCTGTATTTTATAGCTCCTTTCCTGTTTAGGTGGTTTCTAGGGTATAGGGCACGGATAGGTACATATCCCCCTCCCCCTACAGCCTTCGGAATACACACATCTCTCTCGAGGTCTCTCTGAATGCTAGCTCTCATTACCATACCGAACGGGTTTCGCCCCATTCGACATTTATTAAACGTGATTGGTTTCGAGCTCACGACGTGGGCTTTGAGGTCCGTGCATTTCCTAATACCCTGCCACCCCCAAGTCTTTCTCTCTATCTTACTGATTCTTTAAAGATATTCCGGGCTTAGAGGCCAATGACGTACACTACTGCGCCCGCCTTGTTTCTCATGTAAACGAGACAGTTTGCATGGTAATTGATCTTTTCCTGCTTGGGCAAGGCCGTAATGACAATCCCTCTGAAAATTACGTTAAACCCCTGGTCAAATCGGTATTTTGGTAATACCCAAACCGGAGTAACGGAAGAACTATTAATGCGTGGGATTTGAATAAAATGAATAGAATGGAATGCGAATATGAATAATGGGCTTATTCGCGCGAATACGAGACTTAGATATTCGAATAAGGCCTATATTCGCATCCATATATTCATTTCCGAGCCCTACCAAGATCCGACCGACAATCCACCATCTGCTTCTTACTGACCGACAATTCCCACGGAGAATCAAGACCGCGCTTCCCAGAACACACGGGCGTCTCCATCGTAAATGAATACTCTTCATCCAACCCAGTATGCAATTCAGCATCTTGCCCCGTCAAATCCAAGTCCAAGCCCAAGTCAAATTCACCCAACGCCTCATCCGAAACCCCGGGAATAGACTCCGAGTCCATAAGCGGGGTAGTCAAAGGAAGTGGAGGGAGTCAAGGCTTGAGACCGCGAATGCGGGAGCCGTGGATGTTAATTGCGGTTCGATTGAAGTGGTTTGCATCTGCGGATTGACTCCTGCACTTGTTGGCCGCTTGGATCCTCGTGGCCCCCGGTCGAAGAGCCAGGTCCCCCAGGAGGAGTCCATTGATGGAGACGGTGTCTGCGGCCTGCCCTGGCGACGTGGTTGCTGCTGGCCTTGGGCAGCGGAGAGTAGAGCAAAGTAGCTGGTGGCGGTACTGCGGGAGTGCAGAGGACCCGAGTCATAAAGGGTGGCTGATGGCATTGGCACCGGGGTCGACGAAGATGGTGGTGAAGCAATTGGGGTTTTGCGTCTGGCGAGCCATTGGACCCATTGGGTATCGACGTCTCTGCCCACTGTAGGTGATCCATACTTGGCCGGCATTTTGGAGTTGTTTGTTTGGTCTTTCAGTTCTTTCAATCCACGGAGCAAAAGTATCTGGTCTGGAGAAAAAGGAAATTGGAGAGTATAAATAAAGGGCGTACGTAACAATGAGCAGGGATCGGGCCGAACCGCTCGGAGGTTCACTTTAGCTTGGTGTGTATCGTGTAGGATTTTCTTCCGCGGATAACTGGACCGGGGTAACGCTGAGGAACTTGAGAATCCGAGTCCCCGGATGGTCGAAACTCCGCCAAAACTCCATGGAGTTTTGCATCTGAGTCTGACATGCCTGCGTTACAGCCTGGTGACTATAAGTACCTGGAGGCTCATCTGACGTGAGATTCAACTCTTAGCTTCTCCATCCTCTTTCTTCATATTAACCGAAGTCCAACAAATCAGAAAGCAAAATGCCCACCCATCACCGTATATTATCGCTAGTATACAGCGAAGTTGAGGCTCTCGATCTCTTCGGTCCCCTTGGCGCAATTGTTCCCCGGAGTGACTACTACAAATTGGAATTCGTCAACCTCCACCACTTCGCCTCACCCCAAGGCATTGAAACCTCCATCAAAAATGGCATGGGCATCGTGGGAACCATCTCCCTGGCCGAAGCCCTGCGCGAAGACCACTCCTTCGACACCCTCTTCATCCCAGGCGGCTTCGGCATGATGCCGCTGGTCTGGGACCCGATGCTACTCCAGCAAATCGGTCAGCTGGTCGATCGGGCCCCCAACGTCTTCACCGTGTGTACCGGATCAATTCTCCTCGCCGCCACGGGCCGTCTGGACGGTCGCCAGGCGACCACCAACAAGCGTCTTTATGACGAAGTCACTCCCAAGCGTACGTCAATTTCCAATACTGTCATGCAATCAGCTTGCGTTCTCGTAAAACCAGACTAATAACATTCGTAATCTCCAGACCCCGGCGTAAAGTGGCAAAAGCGCGCCCGCTGGGTCCATGATGGGAAATTCCTGACCTCATCTGGCGTGACGGCTGGAATTGACGCAGGATTTGCGTTTATCGCGAATACGTACGTGGCGCCTGAAGATCGTCAGGCCCACCCGGAGACGCAGAAGGTCGGTCTCCGCGGGGATGCGACGCCTATCCCGGGCTACAGCCGAGAAAAGGCTTTAACGTTTGCGCGTATGACGGCTTTCGGGCTGGAGTACCGGTGGCACTCGGATCCCGCTGATGATCCATTTGTGGATTTGCCTACTAGCGATGGCTCTTAGAGGATGGTATTCAATCCCCTCTTGGGAGGATGTATATAGGAATTTATTGATGAATGATGTTTTGATTATATCTTATGCTGCGATCAGATTGGTAGATTCTTGTAAGTAGTGCTGCAAGGCCATTGAGCCTACCCTAAGTAGGGGGTATTGTATAGTTACAAGTAGCAAAGGGAAAAAAAAACAGCCTTTGGAACTACAGATTGGAAGAAGCGTGGATGAATCAATGACACAGAGAGTCTCCATCTGGTAAGCTTCGCGAGCTTTACCACTACACTCTCTCGAATTCATTCCCAACAATCTGGGCAATATTCTTCTTCCACTTCCCTAGTGTCTTGGCCTCTCCGTCACACGCAGCCTTCGCCTATAACATACACTCGTTTGACATCCAATAGAAGGCTGCAGTGGCGCCAGAGTGCTGAGTGATCTCTATCATATCACGGATGAGATACAGATTTGCGGGGGAAGTCTCGGAGCCATATTGCTAGGCCCAACATTGGGCGACGCTGAGGAGTAATATATGGTGATAAAGCATGTTGCTAGGGATGGACAGGAAGGAAGAGGGGCGCAGAGGTAGCATGTGTACAACAGTTTCCTGTAAAATACAATATCTATTCTGGGATCTGATTTCGAATCTCTTGCGTATCTTTCATTGCTTCTTTTCGCGTTCTGTCCTTTTTTTGTTTTTGTTTTGCTTTTCTACTCTGGCTCTTGAAGAAAGAACCCATCACAATCGCGCCATAAGGGCAGCCTAACGTTGAGAATGGCAATGAGGCTACGACAGGCCTTGACAAGGCTCTAAAACTTCAGGAAGTGGTACGCTCTACATGTACATACAAGGATATATATAGTTGTGGTAGCCTGTATATCATTCAGCGATGGGTCGGGGTAAATGATGTCACACACATACTGGGCATATAGTCCGAGTGCAACCGGTCAGCCAATGTCTCACCAGGGAGGAAGGCCCCCATTTCCCATGACTTCGTAAAAGTTAGCAGCCGCAAAGGCGTCAGCGCTCGAAGGGGTCGTCGCGGGGTCCAACGTGGGTTCACTCCCCATAGACGACGGGGATTCATGGGTCAAGCGCGTCCCCGAGAGGCTACTGCTTTGGCTTGGATACAAAGCGTGGGTAACACCCATTGCCCCGTAAACGTCTCCGGCCATAGGCAAGAACTTCTCTTTGCCTACATCTTCCGGTAGCTGGAAGTCCAAGAAGTCCCACATATTAGGACTCAGTCCATTAGACAGAATGGGCATTACATCTAGATCGGGGAAGCCGTCCGCGACAGGATTGGAGAGAGTCAAAGAGGTGTCCCCAGGGGTCGATAGTCTTGGAACGGGTAAATCAGCGGGAGTGGTTGGACCATTCAAGGTCTTCAGGATCTCCACCACCTGGCGGTAGAGGGGACGCTTCTGGTTCGATCCCGCATGGCGGTTGACACCGTCACCTGAATCCTCTTCCAACTTCATCAGTGCCTCGAGGGCCACAACACTGCGCGACACCGAGCTTTGGAGCGGTTCTTGGGGTATAGCGTCTTCGGAGGATCCCTCAGGCGAAATTTTGGTACGCAACAGTTCAATGGCCTCCCGAATATGGTCTCGCGTCATTAAGCGACCGAGTTGGGCACTCGAGCGCTCGGCCTCGGTCGACGGAGAATCAAACAGCAGCCCCAAGACCAGCACAACGGTCGCGTTGAAGAGTTGCGTTTCGTTGGTGGATAGTGAGCCACAAACTGTGCAGCGGGCTTGGATCTGGGCTTGCGTGTTGATAATGTTATGAGCCAGCTGCTGGCAGGATGCGCGTCCCATGGGAGAAGAGAGAGTAGAGCGATGCAGGCGGAGGAGGAGACTCCACAGCTGTTGATGCAACATGAATCGTTGGACTGGGATGGCGGCCATGGGACCCATGGCTGTGAGTCCGACGGTGCTTCCCAATCTAAAGTAAGACGGCAAACTTGCCACATACTTTTCGTATTTTCGATTGAGGTGCTGGCGCCGCTGGGCAGCTTCGTTTGCGGCGTCCCCGAGATCAATTAATTCCCGCACAATGCTGGACAACTCCAACGCGTGTACCGTATAGGACAGCATGGTAAATTCAGACCGAGGGCGCTCGGGAATCTTGCCATGTGCCCTGAGCAGATCGTCATCGTTGAGGTGCAATGGCATCCGGGTATTAAATTGTGAGGGGCGGATGGTATAGTAGCCAAGAGCTTGTCCGCGCGACCAGTCTCTTAAGACAAGAGTCCACCTAGTGGTCCCGAATGATTAGCGCTTCGCCCCAAGTGAAAGAATACGGGTATTTGGGGTGCCTACCAAATCCGAATCGCAATCTCGGTGCGAATGTGAGGTGGTTCAGCGGTCGCAGAGCCATAATCTAAGGAAGGCGAGGCATCCAAAATGGCATTGCCCAAGCGATGCAATCCAAGTTTGCGCGCACCCGAAATGGCGGTAACCAAGACGGCATCAAGCCCCAACGAGGTCTCTTTTGTATCCAACAGAAGCATGATGGCCGCCTGTAAGCTGGAGATAGAGCCACAAAAGAGGGAAATACCTCCCTGGAGACAACGCACGCCGAGGGACCGCCATGTCGCTGCAGGCTCATCCGAGGCACGCAGTTGCTCTACACGGAAAGTCAACGGGGTGAGTTGGACACCCAAAAGAGACGGGGTTGGATGAAAGGCGAGTCCAAGCACGAGCTGCGTGGAAACAGTCAGCCGACGCTAGACCCAGTGGGTTTGGAGGAGAGCGGCACCGCGAGAAGCAAACCAGCAAGAGAGTCCAGAGATAGCGAACTGGTGATGGCCGCGTCGGGGGAAGCCATACTTAAGCAGTGACGCAATTGATCGGCTTGCTTCATGAAGCTTGGGGTGTGCACCACATTTCCCAGTGGTCCCTGGCAACGCGTGACAAAGACCTCGTAGAGGAGTTGGATGATATTCCATTCTGGCAGGGCGTGAACCACATCTCGGATCAAGGCAAACTTTTGGTCGAGCCTCTGCGGATCCTGGGTCACCCAGTATCGATTGGGGATGTCAGGGGCCACGTCCGCTGATTCGGTGGGCATAGGAATGACATCCACGAAATGCTCCAAGATCTGCGCCGTTTCTTCGACCTCCGGTTCTTCCTCTTCCTCCGGCGTCACTTGGCTGCGATTTTGTTCTGTACGTTGGGTTTTGGTCCGCTTGGCTCTCGGTTGACGCTCACCCTTGGTACATAGGTGGGCGCAGTCGCGCTTCACGCATTCCAACTAGAAACAATGAGTTCGCAATTCCATAAGATTTTAGGCACACTCACACAAGGCTCCTTGCGATCGCATTTTAGTTTGGAGGCGCGACATCGCGAACAGGAGAGGGTGAGCTTCTTGCGGGGGTGGGCAACATCCATGTCGAGTGTGATGTAAGAAGGCAAGTTGGACATCCCCCTGCATCGACGTACTAAACCCCTTCGGCTCGGCCCCCAACGTCAAGTGGGGGCGGAATCGCGGAATCGGTCCAACTCCCGTGATCGCCGTCTTGGTACTCGGAGGTTGATATGATTTATTTACATTTGTTATACTGGTGAAAGGAATATCCTTAGAATACTTTCACAGATATCTCTCTAGATCAATGAGTACATGTCCAGATAATGAAGGTGTCTGATCACATGAGACGGGAATGCGTCCCCCCTCTAAATGGGCCCTCTTTGACTATTCCTCTTGAATACCATGGTGGCTACAACATTCATATATGTTGAATGAAGAGCACATACATAAAGCATGGACAGCATCGAGACCGTTGAATCAGACTCTGTGCTGACTCCAGCGGAATGAGACCAGTCCTGTGCGTCGATCCCCCGACCGGGGACAAGAAGACGCCGAAGAAAGAAGAGAGCCTTCTTCGACAAAACTGGAACGATCTACAAATCAGATAAATGGCTCTCTATCGTATCCGGAGTCCGATGCATGATGAGATATTCTCATGGACACCGTCCGTGGACGTGGACGCGCTGGCATGGAACCCGTCTGGGGAGAGATCCGCGGAATCCGCGTGCTGCTTCCATCCATCTTGCAGTCTCACCAGATCATGGTCGGAGGGCATCAATTCGGAAGGGTTGGCATCCGGACAATACTGGATGCCAGTCTTTCAAGACAATGATATATTAGATCACTTGTCCCGCGACAAGATGGACTCAAACCAGACCAGAGCATCTTGGTAGTAATCGGATCAATATCAATTCAAAACGCAACATGCCTTACGCCGGAAAGCCTCTATCCGACATCGAGACTAAGGTCTCACAAATTGTCTCCATCATTGCTGCATACCGCCACCGCTCCGCCACCGTCCCCGATCGCTTCTCCAAGTTCGTCCCCACGCTCGAGAAGCAGATCGGAGACATTGTCTCCAACAAGGAGGCTGTCCGTTTCATCCTTCCAGCTTTCCCCTTCAAGGCTCCAGCCGAGGGAAGAAACAAGCGCAAGACACTAGGCCCTCTTCCAGACAAGGCCGAAGAGATCGCCTTGCAGACGCTCAATGGATTCGCCGACTCTATTGCCGAAATCTACGAGGGCGGTGCCACCGTTGTGATTGTGTCGGATGCATCAGTATATGGCGGTAAGCATTCGTCTTCATTTTTCTTCGATGCGTAAGGCTAACCTTGATTGAGATATTCTGAACATCGCCGACAGTGACGCTTTCGCTTATCACCAAGAGCTGCAAAAGCTCGCCGCATCTCTGGGCCTTCGCCATCTAGAATTCACCCGCCCTGGGGCCTTGGCCGGCATTGTGCCACAGGAGGCCCAGACCCTTGAGGAATACTCCGACTTTGTAACCAAGACCCGCAACCACCTCGACCACTCAATCTCCCACGTCCCCTCGGCCGAGGATGATAATCGGCAAGCGACGAGCCGACACTACGACACGGCTCTCCCGGAGAGCAACAATCCCACCGCCTTGAAGAATGCTATGCTCCAGCGAGGCAAGGTAACTGTAATCTCTCCTCCGGTGATCCGACCGGGCTAACAGATCTAGGCCTACTTCACTCTGCTGGCATCGGCTGCGCCATCCGCCATCCGCCTGTCAATCCATGAGTCCAACAACGTTGGCAAAATCACTGTTGACCTGTTCCCCCCTGCGATTAACCCTGATTTCATCACCCCGTGGCATGGGGCCTTGACACTGCTTCCCGACGCCAGCCTGCGCGTGGTCGACGCATCCACCGTCGATCTGACCGAATTTGAGGTGGTCAACAACGCTGCAGGCCACCCATGGTTGCTGCGTGCCAAATGCGACCTCTTCAATTGGCCAGGCATGGAGGTCGACTTTGAACCGCTTTTCCCCTGCGGTATGAAGGTCTGTCCAAAGGAAGGACACGGGCCCTTCAAGTTCGAGGACGTCGATATGAAGCGTGTCCGACGTCTTGCTCTATCCTCTGCGCCTCTTCTCCTGCGTGGATTCACAATGGAAATCGAGAAGGAAGTGTTCCGCGAGAAGGCGCGTCAGCTTGGTGAGATCCAGCAGTGGCCGTTTGGTGATATCCTCGAGGTTCGCGAGAATGCAGACATCAACATGAACAACGTGCTCACGCGCGAGGCTATGCCCTTCCACTACGATGGTGTGTTCAAGATGGTCCAGAATGAGAAGACCGGCGAATGGATCTCCACGCCGCCTCTCTTCCAAATGTTCCGTAACCGCGCGGCCTCGCAGTCCGAGGGTGGTCTGACGCTCTTTGCGTCGTCGCGCAACCTCCTGCCGCTCCTCGGGCCCGACACCATTTCTCTTGAGGAACTGCGCTCGCTGAAATGGAAGACTTTCACAGAAGCCAACGATGCCTTCGGCGGCCATGATTTGCACCTGCCCTTCATCGTCGCCCACCCGGAGACCGGTGCCGATACTTTCCGCATCCACGAGCCCTGGCCCGAATCCAAGTGCATCGCTGGAAGCAGCAAGCCGACTATCGTTCAGGTCGTTGGCTGGTCTGAGGCTGAGAGCGACGCGCTATGCGAGAAGCTTACGGCTCTGCTGTACGATCACCGGGTCGTATACCGTCACCAGTGGAAGGCTGGTGACTTCGTCTTCAACGATAACGCTACCACCCACCACACTCGCACAGCATTCACTGAGGGTCACCGTGAGCACTGGCGTGTGCACGTCAACTAGATTGTACTTTGTCGTGACTGTTTTATTTTTATTTTTTTTGTTCGTTTTGCTATTAGATGACATGAAAATATACGGAGACATTATAGGATGAAATTTTACTTATTCTTTTCTTATAAACTCCTCATAATTTGACATCCGATAGAACTAGATGAACGATTACAAGTGAGACTGGTTGTTTCTAGGGCTTGCAAGACCAACAATACTCCGGCTGAGCCTACTCTCTTTGAGCTTGGTGGGGAATTCGAATTTCCAGAGGTTGAGTCACTCTACAAAACACGATATCGATGTGCCACGGCGTAAAGGATTGTGTCAAGTCAGAAGGAATCTGTACGGGCTAGTACCGAGCATGGCCAATAGACAGAATGTTGAATTGATGTCTGGTTGAAGAAAAGGTCGAGTTTCCTGTGATTACCGTACAAATAGGCGGCGGATCGAGTACATGCTGAATAATCATACCCGAAAGGGTGCTAGTGGTAATTTAACACTCTGTTACGGGATATTCCCGGTGGAGGTCACATGACCTCGCACACCGCTCTAGATCTTTTAGTAGCTATTATTAGGTACATAGGAATATCATCCTTTTGCCACTTCCCATAACACACTCCTTCAGTTCGTTAGATTCTGTCGATTCCAAGAGAAGCGGTACGCGCTAGTATACGAAAGGACCAATGGTAGGTTCGATAACATATATTGAGTGTACTCTCATAGACTGTCTAATGCTGCGAATATTTAACCAACTGCGGGCTTAATTAAGCAGTGGAATGCCCCAACAAGTAACTAACTAGTTATCTAGTTATCAGTCAGCAAGTGGGTGCTGTAAAAGTCGAGTGAACTAGTAATGTAAGACCCATTTTTATCCGACAGATTCTCATAGAACGGGCAGCGGACGACGCAAGGGTCTTTCTTCTCACTATACCAGCCAAATAGGAGACCACAGAAAGGGCGAAGACTAGGTAAATTGCCTAGCATCTACTCGAGTGAAGATAGTCCATTTATTTTCGATTACCAAATTATCATCTCCGAAAAAATCTGTTCAAATATACCATTTCTGCCAACGTATCTATTATTTATGTTGGGCTGGTTAATACCGGCCAACAGGAGTGAAAGAAACAAAACCACAATCAGTGTATCACAAATCGCTTCAAAGATCCGCCGTCTCGGAAATGGCCTCAGGGCCGGACTGGTCCTTCGCCTTCGACTCAAACCTGTGGTCACGAACAAAGAAAATTACAACAAAGAATCCCACAGCCGCGAATCCAATTCCCAACCAGAAGGCACCGCGGTAGCCGCGAATAGGGTTCTGTCCTCCCTCATTGACATGAGACTCAACAGTAGCGGCGATACCGAGACCAATGGAGATGGAATACTGCACAACCGTTGAGATAAAGGATCCCGCAACACCTTGCTCCTCAGGGAGGACGGCGTTGGAAATGAGAATTCCGGACGAGGCAAACGACAAGTCAGGCCCACCAACAACAAACAGACAAGCAGGGAAGATGAAGGCCCAGTATACGTTCGAGTAGTTGACGAAACTCATGAGCAGGTTGCCGATGAAAAAGGAGAACATGGACACGCCGAAGATGTACTGGACAGGCGTCTTGGCGACGAAGAGTCCAACAGCCGTCGTAGCAAACATGCCACCAATGACCAGGGGAACCATTTGAGCCACTGCGGCAAGCGGCTGAGTTTTATGGACAGTGAGAATGTAGACGGTGGTGTAGTAGAGGAAGATTCCGAAGGACATCCAACCGAAGGCCATGGCAGTGACCACGGGTGAGAAGCCAGGGCGTCCCCAGAGGGAATTGGGCAGGACGGGTGCAGAGACGCGGGACTGGGAGAAGACGAATCCGACGAGCAGGAAGACGCTGACAATGAACAGGGCGTAAGTGTAGGGCTCTTGCCAGCCGACGACCGAAGCCTGGTTCCAGGCAAAGGAGAACAGGATCATGGCTGACACGCCGAGCAAGCTACCGATGTAGTCGAACTGGCGGAGACTTAGTCCCGGAATCGGGGAGCCGATTCGGTGAGGAACAATGACGAAAGTCGCCAAACTGAGAACGAGGCAGCCGATGGCCCAGAACCAGAATCCCCATCGCCAGGTGACTTTCTCGCCGAAGGCGGCTCCGATCAGACCACCGAAGATGTAGCCCGCGGGAGCGCAGAAGCCCAGGAAGGCGAAGGCGATGTTCTTCTTGACCGACAGAGGTGGGAACGCACGCGCCAGCAGCGCGAAGGAGTTGGGGACTAGTGCGCCATTGCCAATTCCCATCATGCCGCGGGCGATGTCGAATAGAACGACGTCGTGGGCGAAGCCGCAGACCAGTGACCAGATGGCCATCCAGATCCAGCCGAAGAGGAATACGTATTTGTGGCCGAAGTGATCACCCAGGCGGCCGGTGACTAGGACGAAGACACCACCGCAGAGGGAATAGGAGGCTAGGAACCATGACATCTGTCCATTGCTGTTTGTGCCGAGAGAGGTACCGATCTGTTCCATTGAGTAGGCGGCATTGCCCAGACCGCCGACGGAGAATAGTTGCGACAAGCCAATGATGAGAATAAAGACAGCCTCTTGGAAGGTGGAGGAGAAATTGGTCGGCTCAGTTTCCGGCTCAGCCTTCTCGGCGGCCCCTGGGCTCGAGATGATTTCCTCTTTGTCGTGAGGTTTGCTCATCAAGGTGGGAGTGGTGGATCCTCCGTCGGTAGACGACATGATGTGCTAGGAGATATAGATTGATGTGAGGTTGGTGGAGGAGATGAGAAAACAGGAATTGATCCAATTTTATAAACCATCTGGATTAAATTCATTTTGTATTGCTTTCCCTTCCCCCCTGAATGCTGGAGCCATGGGGATATGGAGATGGAAATTGGCGTTGAAAGTCCGCGGAGTTTCAGAAAAAGTCCGATGTCTGCGAAGGGGCATAACGGCCAAATGTCAGATGCCTAAATTTTCAGGCCTGTCGCCTGAATGTGCCTGAATGTGCCTGAATTATAGACCGCTTTTGCCACCGCTCTATACCGTGTACTGTAAATTGAATCTATTCCCACATACCATAATAAATTCCTCAGAATTGAAGCTATTCCCACCTCACAAATCGTCGCCTTGTTCGAATCCCCGGCGTTGAACACTACCCCTGACCGCATAAGCCCTCGAATTAAAGCTATTCCCACCTCACAAATCGTCAGCATCGGCAACAGAAATATAAGGACGTATAGATTACCTCAAGAGAAGCTTCGAGCGGCGGCCACAGTAGGCGTACGGGGGTAGTAGAGGGGAGAAGAAAAGAGAAGAAAAGAGGGGGGCAATTACGTAGTTAAAGGCTTCAACGCCGAGAAAAATGGTGTTCTAGGATTTGTATAGTGGGAATAACTTCACTTTTTCAGCAGAGATATTTTGTCAGTCGCAACAGCTTTAACGCCTAGAAATGGATGTATACAAAAATTTGTATGGTAGGAATAGCTTCATTTTTCAAATCCATTACCTACCTAGGTAGGTAGGTACTTTGCTTATTAAGGTATCTGTCATAGTAATTCAGGTATTTTAATTTCTGCCAGAATAAAATGAGACAATATTCAGGCAAATTCAGGCAAATTCAGGCCTGAAAATTCAGGCATTTAACCTTTGGCCGTTATGCCCCTTCGCAGATGTCACCACCCGTGGACCACTCCGGCGATGATGATGATGATGATGAATTCATTTGCCGATGTAGCTGGCTCTAAATATAGGCTGCTATGCGGGAGTGCTGTCAGGCCTGCCGACAGCTAGAAAAGTGGTTGCCAGCCCACTGGACGACCGTTTCTTGAACCTCAAAATACGAGTTTCTAATTGGTCGCCCTCGAATGTCATGGCCCCATCACCGCTCGATGAGGGTGAGGGGCCCTTTCCCCCTTCCCACTATCTCTCCCTCCACGGCTCCCTCGTATCAACGGAGTCGCCACCTCTTGCGCAACCATCCAACCCGTCGGCTGCCGTTCACGCGTTTGGATCAAGGGAGTACAGTGGATCTGGCACTGCACTCCTAATGGGCGCCATCCTTCTTCTTCCGTCACACTGTCCTAAGGATCACTGAGCAACCCTGAGTGCTCACTCACTGAGCACCGAAGCACTGTGCTCAGTGATCAAAAGTAAAACCTGCACACGTGATGTTGGGATGACTAAGATTTTGGTAAAAAGGGAGCTTAAACCGGCGTCCAAGGTAGCCTTTTTCGGCAGCCGATTTACCGTCAATTAGCGTTGTGGTGTAGAATGTAGGATAAATATAATGATTTATATATCAATACACTCCTTAAAGTCTGATTTCTCTAGAAATCAGTATAATTTAAGGCTAAAACTCCTTTATTTATTTAGTCTTGTAGGTTATAGTTGGTATTACGACTTGCTCTATGGGTTCTTAATGGGTTTTCGCGGGTTTTCGCGGGTTTCGGTGGGTTTTATGGGTTTTATGAGTTTTACCTACTAAAACGTACTTATTATAGCCAATTAATAGAGAAGGATTCGACACTATGTCAAGTTTTATGATATATCACTTTAGCTGCCTCCTTACGGGACGTAGTTTATTGAAATTGCAAAGTCTGTAAGTCCTTCCGTTACCTATACCTATTCTACCCCTCTACTACGCGATATTATGTCTGAAATTTAGGAACTCCGGAACTCATCCCGAGTTTGCGAGCGGATGCCAATCCGAGCCTCGGGTCCGGGACGTAGAGTCGGCAGTCTCACAAGGGTATTTTCAATAGGCGATATACTCGCTAAGCGTAGGTGACGTGTGGATAGGGCCATGAGATTAAGGCTTTTGAAAATTTTGAACAGATCTACTATATGCTTGTTACGTCCGGAGGGTATTCGAAGCTTAGCACGGAATTATTCCCGTCTTGAAGTATTCCCCATGGGGCCCCGCAAGCTTTAGAACGAGTCCCTTACGTGTTTTTGCAAGGCTTCGAATTTATTTATGGATTGCTTCTGGGTACTTTATATTTAAGTCAATTGCATCTCGTTCTTTGATCATCACTGCCCCTGTGACTTTCGACTTAGGATTATCAAACAATCATCGACTTCGTTTAAGCTTCACTGCCACAATTTCACAATTTCCGCATAAGATGAACGAGAATGTCTCCCCAGCGGGGGCTATTCGATCAGACGACATGGCCCTCAGCAGCATAAGGAAGGGTCGATTCGAAGAGTCAACCCACCTGGAGGACGTCTCCGTTACGACTTCGGACACCCAAGCACCAGAGGCACCGATCAACTGGCCCGCTTGGAAGCGAAATGCCCAAATCCTGATGGTTGCTATCCACTCGATGGTATGCGTTTTCATGGCCGCCGGGATCATTCCTGGATATGAAGCCATGGCGGAAGAGTACAACATCACGGTCCCTCAGGCTAGCTATCTAACATCTGTCCAGGTGTGTATATTTTCTTTCACTTCACCTAGATATAAGCTAACAACGTATCTTTATCCTTTCAAGATTCTGGTCTTAGGAATTGCCCCATTCTTCTGGATTCCTATCACAATGCGCTATGGCCGTTACCACATCTTCATGTTCTCGGTGCTCGGCACCATGGTGTGTAATATCGGAGGTGTGTTCTGCAGAACTTTTGGCTCGCAGATGGCTACTCGTGCTATTGCAGCTTGGCTCATTTCACCTCCACTCGGAATTGGCAGCGGTGTCGTGACGGAACTGTGCTACCCTGAGGAGCGTGCCCGGAAGTTGGGATGGTGGACCCTGCTGATCACTATCGGGATCCCCGGCGGTGCATTCATAAATGGGTTTGTTGTGCAACACCTAGGAGTGCCCTGGATATTTTGGATATTCGCAATTATTAATGGCGTTCAATTCATTGCCTACGTCCTGCTCGGTGACGAAACTTTATACGTCAAGGATATACCCATCCATCCGAAACCCAATGGCTGGAGCCGGCTCGTCCCTTGTCGGATCGACCTACGCCCCTTCGAGATGCGAAACTTCATCGCTCCCCTTTTTCTAGGGAGCTTCCCTCGCATCTTGATTCCGGGCATTGCATATGGCGTCGAGTTTGCCTACGCTAACATCGCTATCATCGTTGAGACACCACTGATATTCGGCGAGAAATTTCACTTCAATGCCCAACAAGTAGGCTACCAGTTCATCTCCATCATCATCGGCTCCGTTATTGGCGAACAAGTTAGTGGACCAATGTCAGATTGGTTCCTGGGTGTTCTCCGGCGTCGGAAGGGCTATACCATCCCTGCGGATCGTTTGTGGTTGTCATATATCGGATATGGCACTGTCTTCGCGGGGCTACTAGTCTGGGGCTTCCAATTAGAAAGGTCAACCACTTGGAACGTTACACCATGCATCGGCATGGCTATCGCGGCCTTTGGAAACCAGGTGCTCACTACCACCCTCATATCCTTCGCGGTCGATAGCCACAAGGAACACTCTGCCAGCATTGGTGTTTTTATCAACCTCTGTCGACAGATCTATGGATTTGTGAGTCCCAACAAAATATTTGGCTTTACTTCAACATAAATGCTGACTGAAATGTCTCTTTAGTGCGGTCCATTCTACTTCCCTGATATGTATGCCAAACTCGGGCTAAGCGGCGCTGCTGGTGTTATGTGTGGGATTATGGCAGTGGCGTCTCTCACTCCGGTTCTTTTAATCCAGTTAATCGACACTAGGAGGCAGCCCCAGCATTATTCATGAGGATTAACTCCTGTGGCCACATGTACGACGACGTGGTTGGATTTTGTCTCGAGGTATTTCCAGGACTTTGCATCTATAGACCGGACATACTGCCACAATACATTTCTGCTGGACAAACCCCACAATTGCCACTGCCTTCTACGAGAGGTATTACTTTAAGCTGGCTTGTAATAGCACTACAGGTTCGACGCCAATGGACCGATTATCGATCCGACGAAATTGCACACTGGAAACTTCGCAAACCATGTTCGGTGCCAATACCGCCTAGATAAACACAGTGTCTAGAGCCATCTAGACAGACTATCTCCGAGATCGTTTTCAAGGAATGGCTTTGTTATAATCGTTTGATCTAATAATTACTACGACTTTGATCATGTTGAAGGCCTGGGGCGGCCCGTTCAGGGTGGTTTCATATCTATCGTCTGTGATGTGTCTAAACTTTGCAGACTTGTTGCTTTAAAGCCCCATTCATTCACAGCAACCAAGTCAGTGAGATGATACTACCGTATCGTAGACGTATCCCGAGTTTGCCATTGCATTGGGAGATCACTTTATCCTCACTGGTCGCAATGTCTTCGCTTTCTCTAAATAATGCACTATCATATCTAGCTATGTCTTTTCTCCAAATGCCGTTAGTTATGAAATCCATGTTTCAGGTTGTTTACCACAATTTGGAAGCTTCTTATATTGCAGTTTAGTCTCCACCCTTCCGTCACATACTCGTTTCCAATATACGTACAATTCCGCGAGGTCTAGCTATCCCTGTTATATGATAGTGGCTTGAGGCCTCAAGCATAGGATTTGCAATAAACAGTTCAACAAGTATCCAGCATCTCGACAAGAGCAGCCTTCTCGTCCGAAGTGATGGTAAGATCATAGACTGATTTCACCTTCACCCACATCTTGGCATAAGTGCAGTAATATGAAGCTATTTCGATGTCAACGATTTATAGGTCACACAATACAAACGGTTTCAGACGTACCCAGTGGGGGCTTCCAAGATTCTGGGCCTTTGTCGCCCTTTGAGGCGTTCACGTTGTCGGTGACTGCTAAGAGTTGGGGATTCTTGAGGTCATTGGCGAAAGCTTGACGATCTGCTTTAGTCCAGCTGGAGGCCCCGGACTACCCATGTTCATTAATATCCCGAGTCGTCTATTTTGTCAGATATGCCTGTCTCACCTTCCATGCGTTTGATAATGGGACGAGGTGATCGATGTCGACATCACTTGCAGCTGTCCAGGTCTCGCCATCATACGGAGAAACCCAGGATCCACTGGTAGCACCGCAGCTGGAGCTTTGGACCACGTCGGTTCCATCCCGTTCGAGGATTGTTTCGCGTGTGTTGCAATTTCTGCCGACAGAAGTTTGAGCTGCTAATACTTCAAGACTCACAGTTCTTATCCACTCACCCGCTGATAGTAATCCAGTGCGGAAATTCGTCACGGCTATATCCATCCTGGGATCCTTGTGCAGCAACGGTCAATCCGGCCAGCTCACTCGTTGCAGTAGAGGTAGACGGAATTCCAGGTGGTGATGGGGCAGGCAAGGCTCCGCCTAGGAAAGGCTGAAAGGCCAAGGCCAGAACCCAGGCAGCGCGAGATATGCCCATTGTGGTTTTTTTTAACAAATATCAACGGTTTTTCGATTGAACTGTGAATTCCAATTGGAATGCGTTGAGTAATCAAGGCTACAGTCAAGAATGTAGGTAAATACAGCACATCTCCAAGTTGGAACTAGGATTTTATACTCCGGCTTTATCTGCTAGGTCGAGCCAAACCCCTCACATAAACAATGCGAATCCAATATCGATTCCTCTCCAAATGCATTGTAACATCGGCACCCCAGTACCCCGAGTCTTGGCCCGGGGCTTGGCGGTGCACGTTGATCAATCATTGGCTTGCGACTAGACAGCGCGGGAAGTCCGGGAGCTGTGAGGAAGTTGTGTTTGATAACAAGCACACCATTCGCCGTAGATTCATATACGACAAGTCACCTGGGCCATAAAGGGACCAGACGAGAGCCCTCGTGCAGAATGTTGAAACAGAAGTCTGCATGAGAGGGGACAGTGAATTCCAATATGGAAATGATCGTCCAATATCTTCCCCCTGTCTCAGTCTTGCGCTGCATAGTATTACGGCTACGTTGTACTCAGTACTACAGTCCGTACTAAGACTCGGGAGAGGGAAATCAAAGGGTCGCAATCAAAAAGACATTAATCTATGGATGATGTGTGCCCACTTTACAGTAAGCCTCGGGTAAACTGCCATGGGAGAGATACCTTTACATCCAGTTTCTTGGCCGCCGTGAGCACCCATTCGGGCTCACGCAGGAATTGACGGGCCATTAACACAGCATCAGCCTGAGGCTTGGGGCCAGACAGCATTGCCTCAGTCGCCTGTGCCTCTTCTTCTGCGCCCTGAACAATATCGCGAGCGGACTCGGCCTCTGTAATAAAGCCAACAGCCCCAACCAGCGTCGTATGGTTAGCGGCGTGGATTTCTTGACGAATTTGGCCAGCAAGATCAATCTGATAGTTCGTATGAGGCTCGATGTGTTGGCTCTTGTGATTACCGCCTGAACTGACATCCAGAAAGTCAATCCCTAGGTCTGGTAATAATTTGGCCAGTTGAATTGAGGATGGCATGTCCCAGCTTCCGGTTCCTGCTGCGACAGTTTGATTCTCGAGCCAATCCGTCGCACTGATACGAAGAAACAAGGGCATTCCACTTGGCACGGCGGCGCGGATTGCAGTAGCCACCTCGGATACGAACCGAGTTCGGTTCTCAAAACTGCCACCATACTTGTCTGTTCGTCGATTGGTAACGGGGCTGAGGAATTGATGAATCAGGTATCCGTGGGCACCATGGATCTCAATTACATCCACTCCCGCTTGTGCAGCAAGCCCCGCACTTCTTGCAAACGCCTGGACAAGTTCTTCAACCTCGACCGTTTCAAGCTCACGAGGGGGCCAGAATTGATCACCAGGTGCCCAAATTTGCTCTTCCCCGCCAGAGGGGCCAACCACGTTTGATGGCCAGCCACCAACACTTTCATCAGCTTTGATGCCGCGTTGCTTCGCTTGGGCTGCGAGCCAGGGTGCCACCGTGCTAGCCTTCCGGCCGGCGTGAGCAAGCTGAATGCCGATTCTGGCCCCTTGACTATGAGCGAAATCCACCACGCGGCGGAGTCCTTTGAACTGTTCGGAGTCTGTCCCGACTTGCCAAAGACCGGAATCATTGGGCGAAATTCGACCATTGGGCTGAACGGATGTGGCTTCAATCAGAATTAGACCGGCACCCTTTGTGGCCAAATGGCCGAGATGCGCGACGTGAAAATCTGTGAGAGCGCCTACAGCCGGAGAAGTTGGGTCTGATTCAGTGGAGTACGTGCACATAGGCGCCACTACCACGCGATTCTTGAATGTAACATTTCGAATTTGTAAAGGGCGGAACAACGTCGGGGTGTTGGGGTCCTGCGGGTTTACAGCTGCTCCAGCATTGTTGGCGGGGGTATAATAAGGCAGACCCTCGGCCTGGTGGATTGACGGGGAGCTAAATGAAGTAGATCCCATTTGTATTTATTGTCTAAAAGATTCAGAATTGATTCAGGGACATTCACAGGCGTAGAGGCAAAAATGCTCATTTATATATAATCGGCTGACAAATTGACTGATTTCCAATTCTGGAAGTCCCGTCCGTCCCCACCACTTATCGGAGACAATGCCGAACAGCCGATGTCGGGAATTCCAACCGTCACAAACGTTTAACTGATGACATTGAATATTTAATACCTATAGGTAGGTATATATTATATATTGGCGGTTGGCCAGAAGACCACGATGTGAACCGTAAAAGAACCTGGGACTACCCAGCGGTATAGGCGCCAGCTGCCAAAACCCAGGGTTATTTCCGGTAAATGTTGATGCCTTGATGCCTATTATTGGCCTGAAGGCCCGAATTAGGACCGAACAAGTATTAATAATCAATGTAGCCTCCAGGGCTGATTTTGCTGGCGCTTATAACTCTCAAAAATGAAGCCTTTCATCAGCATACAAATGCAGATATCTCACCTTATGGAGATGAAAAGCTTCATTTTTTGACACTTGCAAACCGTCCAAGAATGTCGATATATCTCACTTTGTATGTAAATGAAAAGCTTCATTTTACATTACATTGTGCAGGGCGGTGTAAAGAGCGGTCAATGACCAGATTAAATCAGGCATTAAGGCATCAATATTCACTAGAAATGGCGCCTATACCGCTGCGTACTCCTACCGGGACTGACGAAGGCACCGAATTGAGACCCTCTAACATCAAATGACCAACACAAGAAAGTCTAGTTCTAACTGTCACTACCCCAAAGCTCACGATTACGGGCCACTAACTGTGCGATCAGATACTCTCCAATGAGAAGAGAGCTGCGAGAAATAAGCTTATACAAGAGTTCAATAAGGATCTTCCCAACCACCCGTTCCATCTAGGCATCCTTTGCAAAGACTTGGAATCCTAGCATACCCTGGTCGAAAATAATTGACATATTTCCGCCATTCTTTCGAGTGAGGAGAAATTGTTTTCTTCAATGGATGAATACAACCAGAAAACTCTCCGAGACACTGAGCTGTAAAACATCGGTCGAGGTCGAGAATCCAAAAATGACCACAGCCATAACGACCTGTGTGATCAAGGACTTCTAACAAACACATCTATACAGCAGGGGTCAGAAACATGAGATCATCTTCCAAAGAGTTACACTTGCCTCCAGGGTTTATTTGTGCTTAATTCCATCAAAAGCCCTATAATCTCAAAACCTGGCCGTTGTAGGAGTATTCTTGCGGGAAATAATTATAACAAGGGGAAGACCTAGTTAGAAGATCATGCTATCGCTATGGTTTTATTACAGACTATATCAGTTGGACATTCCGACTTGTGACAAAGAAAGTTGAGTGTATAATCTTGGCCTGAAACGTCCATGCTACAAAGTATTTTCAACTAGAGAGGAAATCCAGCCATCGTTTCCATCCTTTGGAACACAACTTATTGTCTTAAAAGACAAGTCGCAACGTGGAGTGATGGAATGTCTGAGGTTCTACAAAGATCAACAAAGCCATCCGAAACAACAAAAGCAACAAAAGACAAGCAGTGGGAGTAAGAAGGGGATATATTCATAAAAGAACAGAAGTCTTGAACATTTAATTTTCTTTGCGCGTTACGCCATTTCTCAATCTCGTATGGTTACCTAGGTATGTGTAGTTATATTGTATACATTAATGAAAAACTGCCAGTAGCATCAAAGTCTGCACGTTACCTGTCCACCTTCCACCTGGGCACATCATCTGCAAACACACACCTCCCCCCCCTCTTCCTCCCAAACAACTTCAACTTCAATTTTAACATCTCCCTCACTTTCGGGTAATCAACTACCCTTGTTCTCTTTGCTTCGCCCCCACATCGATAATATACCACCATGGTTACAACAGTCTTCACCAATGGCCGTGTTCTCTTTCCAGGCATATGGGGTAACTTTGTCCCTACCATGGTAGTCGAGGACGACCGTATCATGCACATTGGCTGGGACCGTGACCAAGCCGTTGTTCGGGTTCAAGCGACAGCATCAACAGTGGACTTAAAAAATCGAATGGTCCTCCCGGGGTTTATCGATAGCCACGTGCACATCCTCAATTTCGGCCTGTCGCTGCAGAAACTCGACCTCCTGCCTTGCAAGAACCTCGCAGATATCCAAAATGCCATCACTTCATATGCAGCAACTCATCCATCCGATCCACGCATTTTGTGCCGAGGTTGGGTCCAGTCGGTTACAGATGGAAACGCTTTTGCAACAGCCTTGGACGACCTAGATCCACGTCCCATCTACATCGAGGCGATGGACCTCCACTCAACTTGGTGCAATAATGCAGCCCTCAAAGAGCTAGAGGCTCACTCGAAGCCCGATCCTCCAGGAGGAAAAATTCATCGCTGCCAGAACGGGATCCCGTCTGGCTTACTCGAAGAGGCTGCGCAGTTCCATATCGTCTGGCCGTTCTTGGACCGAGTCACGTCCATGGAGAAGAAGGTAGCCGCGATCGATGCTGCGATCAGTGCGCATCAACGTGCTGGGTATACTGGTCTCGTGGGTATGGGTATGGGAGAGAGTGAGTGGTCGGCATTGAACATCTACAAAAGCCAACGTGGTGAAATTCCAATGCATGTGGCGGCGTACTGGTTGGTGCCCTACTCAAAACGTGATTCTGATATCTACGGTCATATTGATCGCGCCATTGAGCTTCGACAAACCTTCAACCGCAAAACCTCCCCGGAGTTTTGCATCAATGGCATTAAGCTCCTATGTGACGGCACTGTGCATGAGTGTACAGCGGGACTACACCAGCCATGCGGTAGACTTTCCAACATCGTCGATCCCATCTGGCCTTCTGATGCCCTTGCAGCAGCTATTCGCCGGGCTACCGATGCCGGCCTGCAGTGCGCTATTCACGCAATCGGGGATCGAACAGTGCAGCAGGCTATTGACTGTTTATCGCTGATTCACAACCTACCAGCCTGTCGCCATCGTATTGAGAATTTAGAGATAACAACTTCCAAAGATGCGAGAAGGCTTGGCCAACTAGGAATCGTGGCCTCAGTCCAGCCTGGCCACCTAGACCCAGCGACCTTTGACGGGCGGCCGGACAGGCTTGGGACTCAGAGTTCCAGGCGGGTTTTCGCGTACCAAGACTTCGTCGATGCCGGCGCTCATTTGGCCTTTGGGACCGATGCTCCCACAGCGGAGCATCACGCACTGTCGAATCTTTACATTGCTACTACTCGGCGGTCGTCCATTGATCCGTCCTTGCAAGATACCGTCAATCCCAAATCCGCAGTTTCCCTCAAGACGGCTATCTCAGCAGCTACTGTGGGGGGTGCGTATGCGTCCTTTTCCGACTCGTGGACAGGGACTCTACGTCCAGGATTTAGTGCCAATTTCGTTGTTCTGGATATGATCTTAGCCCCGGAATCTCTGTTAGAAGCTCGGGTGTGCCAAACCTGGTACAAGGGAAAGAAGGTGTTTGATGAAGAAGTGGGTGGCGTGTGATTTGAGAACTCTCTATCTTTGAAGAAACACATAAAACAGCAATGAAGAAACAATGAAACAACATCTAATTCAAACACTCGTGTCCTCAATATGAATGCTGGCGCCCATTCATTTTCCATCAATAAGGTAGGATGCTCAACACAACTCACATCATCCTTGATTCATCGAGTTATCAAATCCATTAGCAGTGTTGGTCGCAATCAAAACTAAAATGTAGAAGTACAAGATTCGCATATTGCGTTGTCTCCACCATTTCACGCGAGAGAACAATCGCCCTGCTAAGTAGAATTGACCCTTGGGGGGTTTAACTATCTCATATGCTTCACTCATTTGGGGTTTACCGCTTAATTTAAAATTAAAATAGAAGTTATGTGTGTCCTAGGAAGAGATGGGGGTCGAGGGGGTCCATTAGATTTATATAGTCCAATATACTAATGTAACCGGTCAAATGAGAATGAGTTTCTTCTTTTCGAAAGACGAATGAAAAAGATATCACTCAACATGGCTCTTGCGTACCATAACCCAATTATCCCAGGATTTGCTCCTGATCCTACCATCTGCGTAATCGATGGCGTATTCTATCTGGTGAACCCAAGCTTTAATCTCTATCCCGGGCTACATATTTATATTTCAAATGACCTGGTCTCGTGGAAACATATTTGTAAGACGTTTCTGCCTAACTCCATCGACCGGAAGTTTAACATGTTTCAGGAAATGCCATAAACAGACCATCCAAATTCTCCCTGTCCCGAGCGACCACATTCATTGCCCCATGGGATGATGGCACAGCAATGGTTGCAACTGGGGGCCTTTACGCGCCCACAATTCGGCACCACAATGGCATAACCTACATCATATGCACCAACGTCATCCATGGTCCATCCAATGTACTGGGTGATGAACGAAATGAACAATTCATCATTCACACAACTGATATTTGCTCGGGGAGTTATACAAGAAGGACGGCTGGTACTACCTTCTATGTGCCGAAGGGGGCACATTTCGATACCATATGCTAAGCATGGGGCGATCAAGAAACATATGGGGCCCATATGAGTCCTCTGAAATGAACCCCTTGTACACGGCTAGCGGCACTACTCAGTATGTGCAAAACACTGGACATGGCGATCTTTTCCAAGATCAAAACGCGCAATGGTGGGTGATTATGCTGGGAATTCGCATCAAGGATGGACGATCTATCATGGGACGGGAGACATTCTTGACAGCGGTTAATTGGCCTTGCGACGGGTGGCCGATGATTGAATCGATCACAAGCGACGGGAATTTGGGGACAAATTTCAAGGAGTGTCAAGACTCACTTGCTGTTAACCCCTGGGTTTATTTGAGAGATGCTAAACTGGATCGGTACCATATTCATGACAAGTGCATCACACTACAAGCAGACCCAGTGGAGTTTACCAGCCCGGATGAGTCAATTACTTTTCTTGGCCAACGACAACGAATACTGGAAGGCACTGCTACGGTCACTGTCTACAAACCACAGCATTACACATCAGTTCGAGTAGGATTGGCTCTCTACAAAGACGAGCACCGATTCTTGGCAATTGGATACGACTTCCACTCCAAACACGTCACGTCATTTTCAACGGACTGAATCAAGCGAAGTCATTCTCGCAAAGTGAGACACAAGGTGTGGAATTCCAAGATTTCGTATCATTCAAAATTGGCTACACCGAGACTTCTCTGCAATTCTTCTTCTGGATGGATGAACCAGACTGGCATAATTTGGCTACAGTCGACACTGCTATCATGACGGATTATGATTTCACTGGCCCGATCATTGGGACTTTTGCCATTGGGGATGATGTTGCGGTGGAATTTGGAGACTTTGAAGCTGATGCTGTTTAGGGTCCACCGCATTATTGATCCGACAAGTATCATCAATTTGATAGCTCAGAATGGGGATTTATGTTGGTTTCTTTTTCCTTTTTTAAATGTTTCCAGGCTTGAGCTTCTGGAAATCTTCTGCTGTCCAATCGGTTACTAGCATGTGGCCGGGCTCGTGGGCAAAGACTAGGCCTTCAATTTTATCACCTGCTGCTTCAACGGCAATCTGAGGTGTAACTCCGCAGGCCTAGGATAAAGTCAGATCAATAGATCCATCCAGGTGGTCATATGACTGTATAGAACTTACCCAAAACACAGGAACTTCCCCTTCCTCGAATGTTTGCGGTTCTCCAAAGTCTGGCTTTGCCACATCAAGAATTCCGAGTTGTTTTACACCATCCCATCCCCAGGCGACAGGCTCTCCGTGTGTTGACAGATAGGCCCGAGTAATCTCCCTCACTCTCTCGATATGCTCCGGGCGATATGGTCGCATGGATACAATACAGTGGCCGCCAGTGAATATCCCAGCGGGTAATAGGGGAATGTTCGATCGGTACATTGCGACTATTGTGCCAGTCTTTTGGTGACGCGGTGGCAACCCTGCCGCCGTTAGGGCATCTTCAAATGAGAACGAGCACCCTACCAAAAAGCCTACATGATCCTTAGTCCATGCATCAGACAAGTCACGACGCCTCTCAATGCACTTCCCGCCCAAATATACTCGATATTTGGGGAAATCCGTCCGAATATCAAAGTCTTCAGACCGAATACACTCTGCCGGTCGAACGGCTCTTGGGTTCCCAGGAACAGCGGTCATTCCTAGCAGGGGACATGGAACTGGGTTGCGCAAACATAAATCATAAAAGTCTGCAGCATATTCTGACGGAAGTACCAGAAGATTTGCTTGTAGGTATCCCGGTGCAACACCCGCGGTATTGGTGAGTTGATTGTAACGACATCGTAGTCGGGCCTCTTGGGAGATGATATTGTTCATACTGTCCTGCTCTGGGTTTTTTGACAAGGTAACAGAATACACATCCTATTAATATTCTGTCCTATTTTCCTATCATATTAATATATTAACTTCATGCCATAACATCATACTAGTATCTGCCCCTATAACCTTGGAAGATAACCTCGGTTATCAATCGGGATCCACATACCGATGGGTCTGGGGAAAAGGTTGGGGGAAACCCCACGACCCAAAGAGATAATAACCATGGAACCAGATAACCCACCAGATGATAAGCACAGACTGGGCCTATTGACTTGCCTCTTCGGGTTAAGATCGGTACGGATCAACGGATTGGCTTGCATTAGTGGTGGATATCCCCTGTGTTCCTCTTTCTCATTGGCCAATATTAGTCCTCTCTTCCCTGCTTTGACCCTTTCCAAGGTTCTTTTCGCCCGTCAACTATCTCAACTTCCGTCTCTTATCACCGTCATCGGCCCGATAGATCCACTCACACCTGACTTGTATCACTGTGGAGGATACGAAGATAGGCCATATCACTATTTGATCCACTATGTATGAAAACACTCTTTAAGTCAATTCGTTCTTTTAACAATCTCGATATTTTGTTACAAGCTCATAGCGGCCATGTCACACGATACCGTTCACGATAACCCTTTGGAGCTTGAGGATTCCCTAAAAAAGGAGGACACCGAGGAAGCAGACTATGCCATCGCCGGCGAGTCTTTGGATGTGGTGCTGGATCCAAGGAAAGAGGCAAAATTGCTCGCCAAGTTGGATGCTGCCTTTGTACCAATCATCATGTTGACCTACCTCACTTGTTTCCTGGACAGATCGAGTATCGGTGGGTTTTATTGGATTCCCGTGAAAAGGAGCAAGAACTCACAATGTTCAGGAAATGTCAAGGTTGCCAATATGCCCGAGGATATCAATGCTTCACCAACCGAGTTTTCAATCGCTGTCTCCATCTTCTATGTGACGTATGTGCTTTTTGAAGCACCATGGGCCGTCATGATGAAGAAGTTGACACCTCGCAACATCCTGACGGGGCTCTGTATCATTTGGTCTCTGACCACCATCTTTACTGGGTTTATCCAGTCGGTAGGCTCTCTCTATGCCACCCGTCTTATCTTGGGTGCTTGCGAAGCAGGGCTGTTCCCTTGTCTCAATCTCTATCTGACCATGGTCTATCGTCGAGAGGAGCAAGCAAAGCGGGTTTCCTACTTGATGAGTTGCGCTGCCATCTCGGGTGCTGTAGGTGGTCTATTGGCCTACGGGCTCTTGCAAATGGACGGAATTGGTGGCAAAGCAGGATGGAGGTACGTTTTTATTTACCCTTCAAGCAGTCATTGTTATTTACAGTATCCCTTTCCAGATGGGTCTATATTATTGAAGGCCTGTTCAGCATCATTTGTGCCCTTCTCATTTGGTTTGGCTTGCCAAACAACCCGGCCGAGGCCTACTTCCTCACCGAAGAGGAGAAATGGATGATGCGGGTACGCAACGATCAGCGTCGCAAGTACATGGGAAGCGAAGAGTTTAGCTGGGAAGAGATGCGCATCGCAATCAGAGATCCCAAGTTGATGCTCAGCAGTGTCATCCAGTTCTGTCAGGATATTCTCTTGTATGGGTTCAGCACGTTCCTACCCACTATCCTGGGTGGCATGGGCTATGACTCCCTGATGAGCAACGTCTTGACTGTCCCAGTCTATGTGTGGGCTGCGATGGTCTTTATCGCAATAGCTTGGTGTTCAGACAGATATTCCAAATTTGCATCGGTGTGTATAACCCATTCCGATATCCAATGAATCGTTCCTCATTAACCTTCTTCGCAGTACATCTTCGTGGCCAATATCTTCGGAATTGTTGGTTATATCATACTTCTCACAGTAGACAATACTGCCGTCCTATACTTTGCTACTTTCCTCATCGGTATCACCACCTATACGTCCGTTGGTCTCAACGTGGCCTGGCTGAACGTGAATATCGCTCCACAATACCGTCGTGCACTGGCAATTGGACTCCAGCAGACAATCGGAAACTGTGCTGGTATCGTTGCCGGCCAGGTGTATCGCACATCACCCTATGTGTTGGGTAACTCCTTTTCCTTGGGGTCCCTGGTGGTAGGCCAACTCACGGTAACTGGTTATGGTCTATACTTGCGGCGGGAGAACAAGGTGAAGGAGCAAATTATCTGTGGTGAGAAGGAAGAGACTCGACGAGTCCAGACGGGTGATGGGGAACTGGAATTCAAATATATCTACTAGATCGACGTTGATGTTGGTAAGATACAACCCGGAAGAAATAGGATCTCGGGGGAGGGTTCACACTTTCACAAACCCAAATACATCTCTATCACCTATTTTGCTCAAAAGTCGCATATATAACTGCTCGGTAGATGTTGTACATAATCAGAAGAAATCTTTCATCACGCTCGACAATTCTTCGCCGTAATCAAATACAAATCCCCCGTCGGGCATCTGCTGGTAGGGTCCTCCATCTGCCACAGGACCCGTTCCCATTCCCATGATTTGATCCTCCAAATTTCCCACGGCTTCAAACCACTCCATCAACTCCTGTGTCATTTGTTCCCCGTCCTGTGGTGTCCGACTCTGGGTGCTGGCAGATTGGGGCAATGTGGGAGAGCTGTGGACATTCAGAGGAACGCGTCCATCTCCCGCTTCAATATCAAGGCGCTTTTTCTGGACCCCGAGGCCCAATTGAGGGCCAAGCTTACGAAGGCTTCGAATAGACTTCCATAATCGTCGGGAGATATAAGACTGGGCAGAGACTCCTTTGACTAGCTCCAGAGCCCAGTAAAACTCCTCCTTACATGACCCACTGAATTGTGTTGGAGCCTGGGCTACTGCGAGGAACAAGGCTGCAAGAGCCGAGACGAGGAACCAATTAAATGCCACTTGCTGTAAGTGGTAGATATCCGATGTATCGTTCAAGCGGGTGATGAAGCGAATTGTATCTTTGGCAATTTCCACCACGGTCTCGGATTCGCCGGGATATCGCATGACATGTACTGAAGTATGAAGTACGGGACGGTGGATAAGCATACGCAGCTGATTGGCACGAAGATAAAGTAGGGCACGCAATCGGCGCAGGCTCCGTGAGCCTTCCGTGGCAGTCTCAGACTCAGCAGAACTCGGGTGATCGAGCCGCAACGAGTCTGGAATGGCATGCACCCAACGCAATACCTGCCAATCCAAGTAGTTCATCTCCTCCTTTTTGATTTCGTTCGTGTTGTTAAATGCTGATATGAACTTCCATGCCTTCGCTGCGATCCGGCTGTACTGAATCATCACACGCAGATAGGGTGTATTCTCGGCGGGCTCTGGCAGGCAAGGATCAATGTCTGTATCTTCCAGGGCAAACGGCATGCCAGTTCCAAAGCTCCAGCGCATATCCAGAATGTAAATAGACCAAAAGAGTCGCAGAACGCGATCCTTCCCCACAGCTAAGATGGCCGGTTGGTTCAGGGTTTCCCGTCGATGAAGACCTTTTTCGAGGCACATGCGCTCAACAATACCAACGGTACGCCACGCCAAAATTTCCTCGTCCATTTGAAAATAGAACATTGACTATCGATAGGATTAGCATGTCGAGCATTCATGCTTGATCGGGCACGACGAACCACGAGAGTCAAAAATATGATGTTCTTGATTTTGGGCGGACCCCAGACACAATTGTCCTGAGCTTCGCGTACACTGTCAAAAAGAGCAATAGCCTGTTCACTCCGACCACTGGCTTCGGCTGTCAATGCACACGCAAATACTACGCGTAGAATATGGACGTCTTCGCGAGCCAGTCCATTGTGTCCATCGAGCTGGCGGGTCGGACCAACGGTGCAGTCGATTGGGTCGTAAAGAATATGAACCTGGTCCAAAATCTCGGTAAGCTCCAGAACCGGGTACATAATTCCCATTTCCTCTTCATAGACTTGGCAAAGGCGAAGTGCCTCGGCTTTAGGGAGACTCCAAAGTGGATCGAGGGTCTGACGCGTCTCAATTTTCTCATTTGGAGCCGATGGCGATTCCAGCGGTGAAGGTTCTTGAGTCAGATCGCCCTCGTCACCAGCCTCGGCACGTTCTACAATCCCGCGTTGCTGCAGACTGGATTTCGCGAGGTCGAAGCTAAAGGCCGATGTGGTCGGGCCTTGGAATGCCATCTCTCTAGCTGTTGACGGACGCCTCGGTGAACGTTGGGTAGGGAGCTGTCCATAAGTGCCAGTAGTAGATGCACCTCCAGGAGAATGTTCGCTGCTGGCTATTGACCGAATACTAGCAGACAGCTGGGTAATCTGGTCCTGCATTACCCTCATTTGCTCAAAAAGCCGCTTGAAGTTGCTTTAACCGCAAAATTAGTATTATGTCCAAACGCACCGGGCTGGGGTGGACATTACTCTTGTTCGGCGGGACTGTCTCGAGAGTTCTCGACGTAAATGCACTCAATATGCTGGCGTCCGCACCGCTGACAGGGTAACTGGCCATTGCATTTGATTTTGCGACGTTTACATCCATTGCTTCATGATTTTGTCAGAAAATGATCCAGAATGGCTTTCTCTTTCTCTTCTTTTTTCTTTTTCTTTTTTTTCAAACTGACCAGGCTTTGGCGATGTATTTGCGGCGCTTCTTCGGGCGATCATCATTTGTATCGTTCACTGTGGGGTTATCCCAGTTATCTGGAACAGGATACGTCTGCAGAGTATTCATCTGACATAAAATGTAATTTAGTGTCAGATATCAGTTCAAGTCGATGAAAGTGGGTGAAGGATGAAGGAAGAAGAAGAGTGTGGAGTCGAGAAAATGCGGGGCGATTCCGCCTCGGAGCACTCGGGAAGATATACGGAGTTATATACCCCCGTGTACTCAGGCATACCATTGTTGAATCTATAGTTACTTTATATAGTATTTTTATAAATGAATACTGTTGAGCAACCTGTTACTATATGGGGAGAGAAAGCAGAGGCAGAATTATTAATTGATTAAACTAGAAATATAGGGGGTTATATACCCTACTAAAACCATCTAAACTCTGCTCGATTATAGTAAACAAGCTAACAAATAGTAAATAACGAATAAATATGGCTTAGTCTATAGCAAACATATATATATACTATACATATATAGGAGATTGTTCAATAAATACGATATTAATTTTTTAACACCTGGCTCTTTATACTCCTAAGTCTTAAGTCTTGACTCTTGATTTCTTACTATCTTACTATCTTACTAACTGAATCTGAATTGAATCTGATTTGAATCTGATTTGAATCTGAATTGAATCTGAATTGAATCTATAAAGTATATAGTATACAAATAAAACAGTAATGAACTAGGCTGTGAGGTAATAACCAATGAGAGAGTTATGTGTCGGATGGCATATTAGTCGCCCGTATACCCCCGTAAGTATTACTAGATCGGATATCTCTACAATATTGGACGATTATTTATATAGGTCCCTCTGGTCTATATTCATACCTCTCTATACTTCATTTTCAATTATTCACTTATTTTAGTAGATACATACATGGCCTCGGATGAATAGAGGAAATCACACGAAATAAAATTTTGAAAAATCCAACAGTAATCTCCTCTTATAGATCCTTGGTACGTTCATCGCTCTCGACGATCCACTGCTCAAGCTTCTTCGGGTCGCGTGCGGTAAAGCCGACTTTGAATGGCTTTGGCTCAGTTGTCAAGGCTGTGGGAATCAGATTGCACTCGATTGCATTAAGAATTGGTCGGTCGGTCGCCTCTTTCGCCGTGTGCATATGGAAAGCAGTGATGAGGCGGATAAAGGCAGTAAACAGCTCGCGATTGGCCAGATGTGAACCTGCACACATCCGTGATCCCGCTCCATATGCATAGTGTGGAGTGCCTGCGCCCTCATTGACCTCCAAATAACGCTCGGGGATGAATTTATCGGCATCCTTGAAGTGATCTTCGTCATAGTCGGCAGCCCAGGCATTCTAGAGGTTTATGTTAGCAAACTCCGGATAGGATAGAAGCAAGGAGCAACATACCATGAAGAAGGTCGTGCCAGCAGGGATTGTGGCTCCATTCCACTGGGTATCTTTAGTGCTCTCGCGTGGCAGACAAATAGGAATCACCGTCCAGAACCGTAAGATCTCCTTGACCAGTGCAGTCACATAGGGGACCTTCTCCTCCACCAAGCATTTCTCCCAAGCATCCCCGTTCGGGTAAACCTCCATGACCGCATCATAGGCCTTTTTCTGAATTCTCTGGCCGTCTTCAGATGCCAGGTAGGCAATTCCCATAATCAAGTTACCCGGCACAGTGTCAAGACCGGCCGACACCATGGTCAAACAAATCGATTTCACCTCGGCTAGACGATCGATGAGTACTCACTTCAACATATCTGGGAACATTTTTTAACTCACCATCATTCAGCTTAGCCTCGGGATCTTTCAATATATTACCAGTGATGCAAGGCTTATCGGTTCCCTTGGCGATCCGGTCCTTGAGCATATCGAGCAAGTAGGTCAGATATTTATCACGGCGACCCCGGAAGTCTGCAGCCTCATTGTTCATCTTGGGAAAGATGCGCAATAGGGGAATGTAGTCCTGCCAGTTGTTCGAAGTGCTACGGAAGTTGGACACGCCACGTTCCACGTCCACAATTTCGTGCAGCAGGGTATCATCCACGTTGCCCTCGATGCGGAACCCATAGTTCAGAGTCAAACTGGTGTTGAGGGCGAAGCGCTGGAAATATGCAGTGGGATTCACATCATATTTACCATTCTGACTGTCCCGATATAGCTCTTTAATGCTGGAATTGGATTCGAGATCGATAATGGGCATATACGATTGCACCGCCGGTCGATTCAGCGCAGTGGCAGCGGCCTTGCGACGTTTCTTGCAGGAATCATCCCAGGGGGAAGTTCCGATAGTGAAACCCTGTGAGCTGGAGACGACGCTGTGGAAGGTGTGGAAAGTTGGGCGGGAGATCAGAGCGGAGGAATCCTTAATCCACAATTGACGGACGGATTCAAAGCTGTTGGCAAACACGATGCGCTAAGGAGGGTATTAAATTATAAGTTCTGTATAGATGGCGAAACCACTTACCTTGTTTCCCATGCGCACTTGGAAAACAGGGCCAAATTTCTTCGCCCATTTCCCCGTGACTGTTGCATGTTGATCTCCTAACTGCAGGAGGTTGCCAAATATGGGGATGCCAGGGATCTCCGGGATACCTTTAATCTTAGGGATATCGGTGCGATTGAAATAACGAATGATGAAATAAATCACCGTGATAACAGCGACTGCAAGTGTTTGTATTGCCATGATCAAGTAGAACTGACAAATTGACAAAAGTTGACAAAAGTTGCAGACGTTTGTGACTGGGAGACGGCGCATGCACCTCTCTTATAACCCCTCTACTTCGCAGGGTTTCTTCTGTTCGGCTACGGCATATTTCCGGGTTTAGAGACTGGGGCTATTAGTTGACATCAATAACATATTTAGCCAGTCAGAAGTGACAGAATCAGCAAAGGCATTTTCCCCATAGGTCGATCAAACTATTCATCAACTCCGGGACTGAGATTGGTCTCTCCACTGCGCATTGACGGAATCATCATTCCGCACTTTGTGACTTCCCCGCGGAAAAATGACCCTCCGCTAATAATAGGATGAGTAGTTATAGGGGATTGCTACTGCGACCCCCCCCATGTCTAATTCGACCCCCCTTTATCTAATTTGACCCCCCCCTGCCTGACCTCTCAGGCATCAAGTCTTTCTGCCAATTCTGCCCAATTCTGCCAACTTGTAAGATACCTCTCTTTACTATGTAAATGCCTAGTAAATATATGTCACTCTAGAGTATTAAATACAACACAACGGACGTCCTTATAAGTACTAGAAATAGATTATTTTAATGCGTAGAACTTACCTTTTTATTTTTATTCCTTTTATCCTAATCGGGAAACAGAGGCTGATTTCCTAAACACGTGTTATTCGAGTCATCACGCTAGCTTACCTCACGAGAGTGGTGATGTGGGAGATGGGAGATGGCAGTAGGCAGGTGGTAGAGAGAGAGGTATACGGGATGGTATTCCGGGGGGGGGGTAGCATTAGTACTCCCAATCGGGTATAGCCCTACAAAGTGTGAATAGCTTCAATACTTCGTACATGCAATGGTATTAATACTAGGCGGTGATCTAATTCGTACGCGGTGAGAAAGGGTGGTGAGCTAATCGGTAAGAAGTAGGAATGTAACCCTGGTTACTGGCCCTCAAAGTGAGTATCAGTGTGGCACAGGGGCAAGGGCTCCAAATTCTGCAGAAAAAGATAGATGCTTACAGACCCCACTTGAGCTCCACAACAGACTTAAATAGGCCCTTTCCTGTCATCGTTCGAGAATTGGTGCGTGTGTTTCGTCGAGCCAGAGTTTGGTCTTCCATGGAATTCTTTGCGGGTCTTATGAGGCCAGTAAGGCTGAACCGTGGATCGGGTGTCGGAGACTTATTTTGATGGTCGGCGGGTGATCTGCCCGAGACAGAGTTTACGTAGGAGGATATAGACCTAGAAGCGTGTTCTGTGGCAGAGGCGTTGCCTATGCCTCGGATGCCACCGGCACTGCTCCTGATAGTTATTGTAGCTACGAAAGAGTAATATGAAATAAAGTAGCAATTAGTGATTTGAGTATCAAATTACATCGTATCACATTCATAACGCTATATACATTCTGGCTGCCAACTTGAATGGCTGCCAACTTGAATAAACATCATAAAGAGTAAAGTTCAGGAGTCTTAGATGTGTACCACATACTTCGTTGCGCTGGCCTTCCCATCCTTTAGATTCGTCAGAGCCTTCTCCAAGCCCTTGAGTCCACCAGGAACCACCTCATGTGGATGAGGCTTGAACCAGCCGTCCAGCAGCCCCTTGGCAAGGTATCTGAAGTAGACATATCCCAGGTCCTTCTGGTCCTGATGCACGCAACCCACATTGTTCTTGATCAAGTTAATGTTATCCGGAACACCAGGATACTCCCTCACAGGATTAACCGTAACGAGCTTCCCACCAAGGGCAACAACCTTGCCCAGGTTGATGAAGCTTGATCCCTCGCTGACACAGTCATAACTATGATACAACTTGGACGAGCCGAGAGCCTCCTTGATCCCCGAGATCACAGCCTCGTCACCCTTCCGGTAATCAACGATAGTGTCACCCTTAGATCGATCAATAAGCCCCTCAACGAACGGAGCACCCTTACCAGCGACAGCAATGATAGGATGAACATTACTACGCCGAGCAAGCTGAATAGCATAAGCACCGATCGCTGACGCTCCACCATAGATAACTAGTGGTATCTTCTCCGTAGCAGGCCGCCACGGCTCCGGCAGGGCAAGGTGGTGGAAAAGACCAGCCACCGACGTCAACGCCGCTAGCGGAATCGTTGCTGCTTCTGCTTGCTGTCAGTGACATCCTTGACCCCAGTTAACAATTTTATGAATGGAGATCTTACGCTCAGATGAAACACTCCTCGGGATATGCACAGTCGTATGCTGCCACGAAATTGCATATTCTGCAAAACTCCCACCAGAAGTCGTCATCTCATGGAACGCCATCACCCGGTCTCCCTTCTTGAACTCGAACACATTTCCGCCGACGGCTTCAACGGTGCCGGCGATGTCGTCGCCTTGGTTGCCGGGTTTGTCAAGCCATTCGGGGAGTTTCCTAGTCAGCTGTAGTTAGCATGCGGACTCTGTTTACCCTGACTAACTCAAGAAGTAAGTGATAGGTAAGACATAAGACGTACCAATCCTTAGGATTCGTCCCGCTAACGACGACCTTAATCAGGACCTCGTCGGCACGGGGCGTTGGAACCGGTGTGTCGACGATCTCGACACTCAGTCCCTTGCGCACTAAAGCTTCTTTCATGTTCGGCATGTTGCGTAGCGTTCCCTAACGTCCCAATGTCCTGGATAAGTGTATGAGAGGAAATTGGAGTCGAGCTACAGAGCTTTTAATAAAGCTTCAAGACATCCGCGCGATCCCGAGGCAGCTTACAAATACACCTCCCCTTCAACTGTAGTCATCGACGCATTTCGCCTTCTCAGATCTGAAGCAAAATGTGGTGGGCCGGAACTCGGAAGTACTAAATCGGCTAAAAGCTTAAAATGATTCTGATTGGTTTACAACTGTCTATATCCCAAAGATTCAAGACTTCAATGCCTACTACGCGAGTGACCTTGTTGACAGATATTAGGTTAACCACTACAACTTGTACAGATTCATTAAATCAAGGTTTGACACATAAAATCATTCATCTAGTTATACATATAAACCATGATCAAATGAATATCCTCGCTGGCAAAGACGCCAGGACGCTAAACAAGAGAAAGAAACACAAAGACGACAAATTAATGTACAATCGAACCCATTAGCGTCTTACACTCCACATGAAGTTCATTCAAATCAATCGAGCCCCAGACCCTAGCGAGGAGGTTGCGAAGGCGGCGGTAGCCCACCTTGAGCCGACCCATGGCTGTAGACACGGTGATGTGTCGGGGTGGAGACAGTGTCACCAAGCGACCCTGGGGGTCGTTGGTGAAGTGGTGGTATCGATCCAGGCACGGATGACTGGGGAGCATAGCTCCCCATGGTGCCTCCGCTCATAGAGGGGTGTAGACCCGATGGAGGAGTGTATGAACGACCGAGGCTCGCCAGCGATGCCATTGACCGGCCAGCCTGGGACTGGGGAGGAGGAGTGTTGTGCCCGTACTGCGAAGGAGCATTGGGTAAGTTGACAGGTGTTGAGCGGTGGGATTGCAGCTGATGTGACCCACTGACCATGGTTTGCACATGTTGTTGATAGCTGTGTTGTTGGACTGGATTCGGCGTTGCGGACTGACGCGGATGCATACCATACAGGCTAGCCGAAGACTGCGCTGGCGTTGGTGGGTCTTGTCGCGATCCATATGCCATACTAGAACGCGGGCCAGGTGATACTTGTCGATAGGAAGTCGGTTGCGAGGTCATATCTCGGGAGCCAGAGGCCATGTGTGGTTGAGCAGAGACTTGAGAGAAAACGTTGGGGTAAGCCGATCGTTGAGAGGCGTTTGTTGGCGGGGGAGTCGGCGCTGGGGATGGCGCGGAAAGATTTGTCAAGGAAGATTGGCTCGGGGTTGCCGCGTAAGATGAATAAGAACCCTGACGGCCGCGTTGCTGCTGCTGCTGCTGCTGCTGTGGTGGCAGGGATTGGGCTTGAGGCTGCGGTGGAGTTTGTTGCGCCCGTGGATCAAACCGTGCCATCCAGTCATTATTGGCTGACGTGCCCGAGCCACCATGAGGGGGGCCATAGCCAGGATACTCCGAGTAGCGAGACGATGGCTGATATTGGGTTTGCTGCGCGTAACTAGAAGGCTTTTGCGGCATACCTGGCATAAGAGTGTCTTCATGGCGAGGGGGTCCGCTAGCCTGGTATATGGGCCTTGGATTTATGCCTGGGGCTGCGCCAGTGGCAGATGGAGCCTGCTCGCCGGCAAATCTTTTGCGCGGCTGAGGCTCTTCAGGTTCATCATTGAGGATGCTCATAATGTTAGACCGTTTGGCAGGCACCTGACGAGTTGCGTCTGGGGCGGGAGTAGCACTCGGGCGAGGGACATCCTTCACTGGTGACAACCCAGGGCGAGGCGATTGGGCTAGACCCATGGGTTGGCCTGCGAGCGAGTAATAGGGTCTTTGGGAAAAAGGATCGCGGTGAACAGACGAGATGTCGAGTTCCGGTCTGAGCTGCTGGGTTGGCGAGCCAGGGGCTGTGTGTTAAGCTGGGGTGGCGTGAGTGGGTCGATGAAAGGAGAGAAGTTGGCTGCTGTGTGGGGATGTAGGCCTGTGCAGACAAAGGTTCCATTCGTGTCATATCCGGTGGCATGGAGCCAGGATGGCGCGACGAAATCGGTAGTTCTTGCGAACGAGACGTGGCATGGGACAGCGCCGAAGAGTCTCGTCTTTCCTCTGTAAAATACCCAAGGCGTGGGCCCCCTTGGATGCGGTGGGATGGTCCCCCCTGCGCGCGAATCGCGCGAGTCGACTCTTCAATTAGAGTTGCGGTAGAGGGCACTGGTGAAGCAGCGGAAGCTTGTGCGAGTGGCTGGTAGCGACCGATGTTCCGGTCCTTGTCGGACGGAGGTCGTCCATGCAGGGACATAGGCTGCGGGGAGAGACCAACAGGCTTGCCTTTAGGGAATCGTATTTCATCAATCTCGGTCATAGGGTCCCCATGAGGAGCCAGTGGACGAGGAATAATAGAAGACGGAGTTGCCTCGTATCGTCGCTTTGGCGCAACACTTGGAACAGGAAGCGGTCCTGTGGTTTCACCGCGAGCCTTTTTCTCCTCTGCGTCCGTTGCAATCAACTCAAAGTCTTTCTGACCCGAATCGAGGCGGCGTTGATAGAAGTTTTTGACCTGTATCATGCATGTTAGCCGGTTAGTCGCCAAACGCAACCATGGAAAAGCGGGAAGAGTAAAATAAAACACGGGACAATAAGACCTAATACATACCATCACCGTTGTCTTGGTCTTCATCCAGGCCGAGATACCCTCGAAATCACGACCAAAATGACCCAGCAAGGCTGGGAAATCGCGCTGCTCCGGTACAGACCAGTAACTCGTTGGTTGCAAGGAGCCATACCCCGTCTCAAGCTGTTTAGCTGCCATAGGCGGTTCAACTTCAGTAGACTCAAAGACATAAACTCCTTCTTTCGCTCGCCCGCGTCCCACCCTGCCCCGTGGCATTGGCGTTAAGGATTCTTTTTCGGAACGCTCTCGTTCCCTGGCCTCGTACCCTTCCAAGATATGATCTGGGACTAATTCCATCTCGCTTCCAGGATGAAGTGGTGCTGCCGGTACAATCGGGGGCAGATCACCCTGTGGCATTGCCACCTGGGCCTTCGGGTCCGGTTGAGCAGTGGTCTTCACGCGCCGTCCACCGCGAGTACCTCCGCCCCGTCCACCACGCCGAGCCGACGATCTTTCCACTGGCTCACTGTCCTTGCTAAGCTGGCCCCGACGGCCAATTGGCGCGCTCTCTGCCTCGGCGGAATCCCCGAAAGTGGGCGCGGCTGCACGTCGTGGACGACCGGTGTCTGTGACAGCCGGCGGCTCCTCCTCGCCAACGAAGTCAGGTTTCACCACACCCAAGTCTGCGATGAGGGCGTTGGACTTCGGTCGTGGACCCTTTCGAGGCCCCTTGCCCCGCTTACTCCAGCGCTGGTTGAGCTTGGCTTTGTACTTAATCTCCTCCTTGGTGAGGTAATAGTGTACGATACACTGCTGGAAATTTCGACCAGGCAGAGATTCGGCAATCTTGCCCCACCGTTTTGGATGGGCCATGAAGGCGTCTGTGAAGATGATATGCTCCTCTGGGGTGAAGTCATTAGGGGGCGGCACAAAGCCGAAGACATCCAGAGCCCTATTACACTCAATGGTGTTGTTCACATCTTTGTAGATGCGAGCCTTTACCTCCCGCGGTTCGAGCATATTGGGAATAATTGCTTCACGGTCCAAATCAGGCCGAGCAGTAGCCATCTTGATTCGTCGACGTTCAATCTCTTCTTGAGCGGAGATTTCAGAGGCCTTCAAAGCATTGAGAAAATCGAGCTCGCTATTTCCTTTGTATCGACGACCTTCGCGACCTTCGCGACCTTCTGGCATAGGCGCCGGGGTAGTTGGAGCCGTGGACACTGGGAGAGAAGCTGGACCAGGGGTCACGGACTTTTTGTCCTTCATACGATCGAGCTCCCAAATAGCCATTCGCCAGAGCTTGTAGTGAGACACATACTCATCCCTAAGGAGTGCGTTTTTCCTGAAAGCTTCCGCTTGGACCTTTGAAAGTTCTGTGCTGAACGTGTCTCTGAGATGATTTTGGGTTGCAATGTTCTCATGGTATACATCCATATCTGAGATAGGCGTTGGCGGACCTGAGCGCAAGAATGGAAGACTTTCAACAGTAACCTCGTCAGGAGGTATGACGGGGGGAATGATAGTTTCCACAATTGGCTCTGGTTCGCGCTCTGGGAGTGTAGAAGCAAAAGAGACCACTCGTTCGGTGCTTGGATGATTGGCTAACACTTCATCCTCTACTGAAGGCAAAGGATCCACTGGTCGATCTAACACTTGGTCGGCGAGCGGTTCGGGGGGATGATCAACCGTCTGTTCGTTGGCTAGCATGCCAAGTAGTTGGATTTTAATCAAAGGAGCGACGATAGCCGAATCTTCCAACGGTGATGGAGGCAATTCTGCTCGGAGTGATTCCATATCCTTTTCGAAGATCCGCTTTCTTTCATCAAGATACTCCTGGGTGAAAACAATATTCTCCCCATCTTCCTCGTCACTTGAACCCTCGAAGTCTGGAATCAAGGCAGGTTTATCAATGCCGCCCTGCTCAGAGGGCTCATTGACATCGCTTGTTTTAATGTCGACGGCCGATAAGCTACGCCGGAGTGGGAGGTTCAATGATGGGGAAACAGGTGAGGGTTCTCTCACAGGTTCATGGGGGGGATTTCGCCACTCTCAGGCTCGTCTATCTCAGATGTTAATAGAGAGCGTGTGGGCTCATTGGCAGGGGAAACGCCTTCGCTCTCATCAATGGCCTCTTGTTTCGGCGGTGCATTAGGAAGAGAAGGTGTGCGGCCGTAGCCAGGTCGCACCCATTGCTTACTGCCTTTACGGCCACGCGGGGAGGGAGCCTTCCATTGCAATGCTCGAGGGCCAGTTGGAATGTTAGACGATTTCATCCGAGGCGACACCGAGGGCTCACGGGATAATGCGCGTGGGGCAGGCGGTGGAATTCGTGCGAAAGTGGGGGAAGAGGTGAGTGAATTCGACCTCCCTGTCCCAAATCCTTCGTTCGGCCCTACCCCAGAGTCTGGTCGAGTCATTGCAGCTGGAGCAGTGGGTGGTGATACATCAGGGAAATTGATAGACGGTTTAGAGAGACGAGGAGGCGCAACTTGCAGTTTTCCAGCCTCCCGAGGTCCTTCAACGCGGCTGCGAGGCTCAAGAGGCTGTATGATCTCTGTCCTTTCTGCCTTGGGTCCTGTAGGAGGTTGGGCTGCTGGCTGGCGTTGCGAGACTTCATAGTGGTCTCGCTCTGTGGGGAAAGTAGAATTTTGCTCCGTGCGTTGGTCTGAAGAATCTTTATTTGCGGAGGCATTCGTGATGGGGGTAGTCACCGAGCCAAAGGCAGGTACCTGGGGGGCGGCTGGAGGTGGTGAGTTCCGAATAGTAGGTCCGGGACTCTTCATAGCATTAGGGTGGACGGCGTGCAGTCGGGGAGCATCCGGTCTAGCATCAGGTCGAGCAGCATCCAGTCGAGGAGCACTATGGCGAACGGCATCCAGCCGTGGAGAATCCAGTCGAGCATCAGATCGAACAGCATCCGGGCGAGGAGCACTATGGCGAACGGCATCCAGCCGAGGAGAATTCAGTCGAGCATCAGGTCGAACAGCTTCAGGTCGAGTAGCATCAGATCGAACAGCATCAGGTCGAGGAGCATCAGGTCGAGGAGCACTATGGCGAACGGCATCCAGCCGTGGAGAATCCAGTCGAGCATCAGATCGAACAGCATCCGGTCGAGGAGCACTATGGCGAACGGCATCCAGCCGAGGAGAATCCAGTCGAGCATCAGGTCGAATAGCATCAGGTCGAACAGCATCAGGTCGAACAGCATCAAGTCGAGTAGCATCAGGTCGAGTAGCATCAGGTCGAGTAGCATCAGGTCGAGTAGCATCAGGTCGAACAGTATCAGGTCGAACAACGCTACTTCGAACAGCACTACTTCGAACAGCGACAGGGTCATTTCGCTCGGAGTCTCGCATAGGTTCCAGAGCCGTAGTGCTGGGGATGGTCGAAGGCTTTCGACCATGATCCACTTGGGGATGGTCAGACAGGCGATCTGCTGGGGCGGGTGCAGGTCCAGGGCCGGGAGCTGTAGGAGGATGTGAGGACGTGGTTGAACCGCTGGCTGCGCGGCTATCTGCACGACTTGGGGGGGCGGTCTCGTTTCCAAAAGTCCACCGGGCGATCACGGTCCTCGCGATCGGGTCGTCGGTTGTCCCAATCTTCGCGACGGTCAAAGCGATCTCGACGGTCCAAGTCGCGATCCAATTCTCGATCTCGATCTCTCGGACGTGGAAGGTCTCGGTCACGATCTCGGTCCATCATGCGATCGCGATCTAATACACGATCCCGGTCCGTGTCTCGATCTCTATCGCGATCCACCATCCGATCACGTCCACGCCACGGTTCGCGGGATCGACTGCGGCGACGGAAAAGATCACGATCATCGAGGAAGGGTGGACGACCACGACCGCGGCCTCCTTCCCAATCTCCGCGACCGCGCCCTCGCATGCCTCCACGGTGTATATGGCCACCATTAGGAGGGGGGCCTTCTGGGCCTCCCGAAGATGCGGATATAATACTATCCCTCGAGTTGCGTCGCATCCGAACCAGATCAAAATCGCGGCCTGGGGGCTCCCTTATATCTCGGAAGTCGCGTGTCGGTGATCTTGAGCGGCCTCGGCCAAACCCAATCCGATTGTCTCGATGGTCGAAATCACGGTCGCGTCGAACCCAGTCCCGGTCCATATCTCGGCGAAATGGTGGGCCATCGCGGTTATCTCGAAAGTCACGATCTCGGTCGCGGTCCCGTGGGTCTCGGTCACGAAAGTCACCACGGCCATAACCCCTACCACGGCCACCAAAATGGCCACCACGAGGGGAATCAACAAGAGCCCGAGGACCACGCGGTGGATCTCTACCAAATGGTGCAGGTCCGTCGTCAGGACCACGGGGACCGACCGGGGGGGCGACGGTCTCCAAATCGTTGTGGAGAACGGTCACGGGAATTGAACCCGGACGATGGGGGAAATCGGGAGGACATTATCGCGTCATGCTATCATGAAGCTATAGACTGGTTAGCGCTCCAGCACGATCAATTACAGTGCAAATGAGCCCAAGGCAGCTGGTATGAAGAATCCATCACATACTTAAAGATGGAGAACGAACACTCGGGAGGGTCTGCACGTGACAAGCAATGCACGGACCATATGAAGAATTGAAGAGCACGGATACCTGATCGGGTAAGGCGTAGTCTTGTTCAGGTGAATATCACGAAGGCAGGTTTTTTTTGTTTTTTGTTTTTTTTTTTTTGTTTTTGTTTTTCTTCCTTTTCTGGATTGCTGGGTTTGAGTCTTGTCAGATCAGATCGAATGGATCATTCAAGTTTTGAAAGACTGACAGATCCGTCAAGATAAGGAGATTGAACGTGGAAAATAGGAAACACTAGCACTAGCACGTTGACAAGATCGGCGAAATCGTGCGGGCTCCTTGCGCCGGATGTTATGCAACACAAGAGTGATCTGGGGGGATCGAGAAATAGAGGAAGGGAGATCAAGGAGGAGTATGTAGAAATATGTAGAAATATGTTAGGAATATGTTTTGGAAGGTGAGTTCGTGAGACTTCAAGGGGCTCGGCATTAACTCAGTTGAACTTTAGTGTGGGGATGTGCCCCCTAAACTCTATTCACATCGAATGTCCAAGATGTTGGCCAAGTGTAAGAAGATATGTACTTTATGTACTTATATAGAAGTATAGATAGTTATCGAAAAATAGAGAAATAGAGTAGTAGAAATAGGATGTTAAATATCATAGGAGATTAGGAGATTCTTGAATCGTGCAGACCCAGTATCTCCAAGACAATGAATGGTAGTATAGAGATATATGCCTTAGGCACAGATTAAGGCACCAACTAATCAAGGCACCAAGACAAGGCACCAAGGCACCAAGGCCCAGACTGATGCAAGTTCCCCCGCCGAATCAAAAAATAAAAAGAAAAGAAAAGATCAACTGCCCCTCTCTTTCGACGCCATACAAAACTATCATTTTTTCTTTATTTTCTTGTCTTTTCATCTCGCTAGACCATTTCGAGCGGATTTATCTAGACTTTCTACAACCCTTCCTCTTTTTATTTTCTTTTCTTTCCTTCCTTCCCAATCCATCGCAAATATGAGTGCCCAGCAGCTTTCGGCAGTTCCCTCCTCGGTGACCGACTCCGTCCTCCAGAGCTCGCAACCAGTCCCAGAGGGATCTCACGTAGTGAGTGGGGTGGATTTTGATAAGTTTCAAGGACGAGATATCACCGTCGCAGAAATGGTGGACAACTTGTCCCATACTGGTTTCCAGGGTAGTGCAATCGCGGAGGCTGCTCAAATCATCAATGAAATGGTAGGCCTGGAATATAATTGTCAATCTTTTAATCCTTGAGTCCTTAAAGGCTGATGATATGTTTCCGTTAGCGCGCCTTCCGTGATCCCGAAACGGGAAACAAAACCACCATCTTCCTCGGCTATACATCGAACTTGATTTCGTCCGGTCTTCGAGATACCCTACGTTATTTGGTGAAGCATAACCATGTATCCGCCATTGTGACCACTGCTGGAGGTGTGGAGGAGGATCTGATCAAATGTTTGGCCCCTACATATCTCGGATCATTCTCGACTCCCGGTGCTGGACTTCGTGCCAAGGGCCTCAACCGTATTGGCAACCTTCTTGTACCCAACAATAACTATTGTGCTTTCGAGGACTGGGTGGTGCCCATTTTGGACAAAATGTTGGAGGAGCAGGAGGCTGCAAAGATCAAGGCCCGGGAGACTGGGGATGAGGAAGACGAACTTCACTGGACGCCAAGCCGCATCACCGAACGACTGGGTCGTGAGATCGACCACGAGGATTCGGTTCTGTACTGGGCGGCCCGGAATGGAATCCCGGTATTCTGTCCCGCCCTGACGGATGGATCTCTAGGTGACATGCTTTACTTCCACACCTACAAATCTTCCCCGCAACGACTCCGGGTGGATATTGTGGATGATGTGCGCCGAATCAACACCATGGCTGTCCGGGCGACCCGCGCCGGCATGATTATCTTGGGCGGTGGGGTCGTCAAGCACCACATCGCCAATGCATGCCTGATGCGCAATGGGGCCGAGCATGCGGTGTATGTGAATACCGCGCAGGAGTTCGATGGCAGTGATGCGGGTGCGCGGCCGGATGAAGCGGTGAGCTGGGGCAAGATCAAGACGGATGCCAAGTCTGTCAAGGTGAGTTGATCCATTGTTCTATTTCCTATTTCGTTAGGCCCAAGCTAACTTTTCCTTTCTCTTTTTAGGTCTATGCTGAGGCCACGGCGGTATTCCCTATGATTGTGGCTGCTTCATTTGCCCGTGCCGAATCGACCTAGAATTGATTTTCACCTTTATCCCTCGAGTCTCGGTAAGACGGAACTGATTGCCAAGGAATGCGAGAACCCGCGGTCTACGGAGTAGAAATGGTTTCCTTTTTAAAAAAGAGCCAATCAGGGTCACTCACCGCCGAAAAGTGATCCGTTTTGACTCAATCAAGGGTCTTTGATCGCGCAATTATTTCAAGACAGGATTGGCTCCCGTACATTGTACCAACCGGTGGATCTTTGTACATCAGGTATTGTTGTAGGTACGTTGATCGGCCTGATACGCCTATATGCCTGATATGCCTCAAGAACAGAACAGTTTTCCGAGGCCCCCTCGATAACCAGGGTTGGCAAGGCCAGTGGCAAAGGGGGAGAAATTGAGCCGAGTCGCCACCAAATGTTCCAAAATTGGCATTTCCAAGGTTAAGAATATTCTCCCCTGAGTGGGGATCAGGATCGGCACACCGCTAGACTTCAGAAGTACGATAGTTAGTTATAGCACTGTACAAGATGTATAAGTTGAATGTTAGAATATAGATCTCTAACATAAAGGGCTTCAAACCTATATCGTAGGTAGTATATGTATTCATATATGCATATATACCTAGGTCCTAGGTAGTCCATACATATAGTCCATAGGCCTTAGGCCATCGTATATACCAAGACCCACTCGGCAACTTCCCCCGGACTCGTTTTTCTTTTTTCTTTTTCGTCTTTTTTCGTCTTTTTCTGTCTTTTTCGTTCTTTTCGTCTTTTTCAATTTCTTTTCTTTTCTTTTTTTTTTTTTTTTTTCTCCTTTCCCCGACTTTTTCTTCTCTTCTTCTTCTTTTCCCCTTATTCTGTAATTTATTCATTCGTTTCCTTTTCTTTCTCTATCTCCCGGACCCCTTCGCTCCACATCTCCAGGGCTCCGCAACCTTCTTCTTATCCGATAAGCCCTTATCAATATTTATACCCGAAGACAAGTTGGGAGGATACAACTTGCTTGCGCTTTATATATCGCTGAAGCACATTCGTTGGAATTAGTGAGGTATTTTCGAATTGGAAGGCCATGGACCCTTTACCAAATTCGCCAGTCTCGGGGCCTGAAGTGGAGGAGGATACGACGAGAACAGCAAATACAGAGACCGAGTCATTAAACCAATCCCCCGAATCGTCACGTTCAACTCCTCAGTCAGTGCCAATTTTTCCCTTAGAAGGACTGGAACATGCATATTGGGCAGAGTATGAGGAGGATACAACGATCCCAGATGAAGACGAGATGAAAGAGATCGACGGCGGCGATTCGGATTACAGTGCCAGTGATCGTAGGTCAACCGTACAAGCAAAAACCACAGAACATACAGTATTTACTAACTCCGTTACAGACAAATATTGGGAAACTAACTTCTTTCGGGATTTGGGAGATCCCGAATACATTCCCACTGAAAAGGCCCGTCTTACGTGGACGATCAAGGGCGTTCGGGGCACCCGTGAGAACCCCAATCATGAAAAAGTCATTCGCTCCCCACCAGCATTTGTTGGGGGATATTGGTGGCGAATCAAGTTCTACCCTCGGGGGAACAATGTCAATGCATTGAGTGTCTACCTCGAATGCTCCGCCACAATGCCTGCTCCAGAGGGCAAGCTTCCTAAGACAGAATTTACGGTCCGTCGGGGCGCAGCCGATGCCTCACTGGATGATAGTGCCCCAGAGATTCAAGTACAGATGGCAGCCACGGACGATTCGACGACGTGGTTTGAGAACTATAAGTCTCAATATCCTGCGACCAGGAACAACTCCCAATCCGATCATGGAACGTCAGGCTCTTGGCGTGTGCCGGCACAGGTTGGTGTCATTGTATACAACCCACAAGAGCCACGCACTGGGTGGATGCAGTCTTCCTGTCATCAATTCAACGCTCACAACCTGGATTGGGGTTGGACATATTTCCACGGTCCATGGGACCAAATCCATTCACGCCGGCGAGGTCAACACCGTGCTCTCTTGAACGACGATACACTCTCGTTTGATGCATACATTCGTGTAGTGAATGACCCTACCAAGTCCCTCTGGTGGCACCCGAGTGATTCCGAGCCAACTTGGGACAGCATGGCCTTGACCGGTTACCGGCCTCTGGGTGACTCAATCATCAATCACAGCCCAGAGGTAGCCGGGCTTGCCTCGTGGCTGCACATTGCTCCATTTTGCAAGATCATTCAAGGTATTGACGTACTTGAACATCTCACCAATCCCCATGCTAGGCCGAAGCCTCTATGTGATGCTCTTCAGAGGCTTCTATGGCAGCTTCGCTGCCAGACACTCTCCCCGAGCTATGTCGATACCGACGGCGTGACGAGCACTTTGCGTAATCTGCATGAGTTTTCGAGCGATGTGTCCGAATTTTGGGAGCGCCTGCGTCGCAACTTGGAGCTAGAGCTGAAGGGGACCGATGCCGGCAAACAATTCGCCCATCTCTTTGACAGTCCCGTTATACATAGTCCTTCTGATGGTGAAGCCACTGTGAACCTGCTGCCGACTGACTTCAACTCGCGACTTTACATACCAGTTGATCAAGCCAAGTCTACCTCCGAAGCCGTTGGTGGATACTTGAGCGCTAAGCCCGGTCGATGGTCGCTTCCATCGATTCTCCATATAGAGTTTGGCCGTCATACCCTGGACAAGGCCAAACGTTGGCAACTACGGTACGACAAAGTGGAGCTGAACGAGGAACTGGATCTGGCTCCGTGGGTTGTTGATGGCCAGGGTAGCAAGTATGTTCTTTATGGGTATATCGTTCATCGTGGGCGCCGCACGTCGGGCAAGTTTTTTAGCATCCTTCGCCCAGCAGGTCCGGGTACCACATGGCTAGCCTTTGACGATGGTAGTGACAACCGCGTGGAGTGCTTGACTCAGAAAACAGCCATGGGTCCACACCTTGGTCTGGACCCTTCCCAGCCTGTGGATCACAAGAAGGGCCATGACGTGCCTGTCGTGGCAATGTATATCCGCGGCGATATGATATCGGAGCTTTTGCCTGGTCCCCAAGGTCCTTGGGAAGTTCCTGAGACCTTGAAACAATATCATGAAACAGGCGTGTACCACACTGGTGACAAGTCCACGGATGATGTCCAAGTTGAGATTTATTCGCTTCCCCAATATGACCAGCTGACTAGCCTGTTTGACTCCTACGATCTTATGGCGCAGGCCAAAGCGGCAAACAGTGTCATGTACATCACCTTGCCCCGCTCATCACGTTTGGCAGAACTACGCAAAAGAATTGCTATATGGAAATCCTCAGGCTCTGATCCCATTGGTCCCGAGCGGGTTCGTTTCTGGCAGATCGGGAACTCATTTGCTCAGTCTGGATCATCGTTGGCGTTTGATCGCGCTATGGATTTAAATGTTCCACTAGATCCTTCATTGGGCACTGTACGGTTCTGGATGGAAACCATATCAGAGGGTACGTTATTACATTCACATTCATTTGTAACCATCATCCCGCTAATCTCCAGCAGAGGACGCTCAATTTTTCGCCATCCCAGACCCCCTGCGGTTGCCACTTCAGAGGATAAGCCGGATGACCTGGTCATCGACAATCCGATACACGAAGCTTCTGAAAATATATCGTCTGTGGCCGAAGGAGACGCCGTGGCTAGCTCGTCGGGAAATTCTCCCCATGAGGATCATGCTGCGTCGGATACCGAGAACTCTGTCATTGATGATAGATCACTGCCTCCATCAACCACATTGTCTTTAGATAATGATGCCGATGCTACTGAAAGGACAGAACAGGAAGTGGTGTTCGCTGCTGTCGCTGCCCATGAGCAACAAGCCATGGCTGCTGTTACGGCAACTCCGTCAGCAGAAGCCACAAGCTCCGCTCCTATATCACATCCCGAAGTTGAATCTTCTATACGAGAAGTGGCACCTCAAACACAGACTGAACCTGAGGTCAAGTTGCCCGTTGGCCATACATACTACTTCATTCAAATCTTCGATGCGGACAATCAAGTGCTTCGTACCGTGGGGTCATTCTTCTCCAAGCTTGATGCCAACGTCAAAGTGTCTATCCGACGGCACTTACAGAGGCCTCTTCGCCAAGACTTCCTCATGTGGAAACGAGTCGATGGTGCTGCTGTTACTACTGTGTCGCCTGCTGACAGCTTCGATGATGTGATGGCTCCGCACGGAGCATGTTTCATCGTCGGGGATAAGTTGACCAAGGACAAGTAAGTACATATATATCTAGTTTTACAATGTTTAGTTCTTTGGTTCTAACATGAAGACAGGCGTACTCGACTTGCTTCGTCGGGATTATTCACCAGTCCAGACCGTTTGGTTCAGTACCTATGGGCCGATTCTCGTGGTCATCCAATCCAAGGCTTCACTGGCACTAAGACCATCGAAGCCACTTTCACAAATGACTACTACAGTGGTCAATTCTTAAAGGGTTATCACCATGGTAGAGGCAAGCACATCTCTAGCACAGGCATGATATACGAAGGCGACTTCGTCTTTGGCCGACGCCACGGCCGAGGCAAGCTAAATTACCCCACCGGAGACTCATATGATGGTGATTGGATTGAAGATGTATGTCATGGACAGGGTACTTACATCGAGAAGACGACAGGAAACAGATATGTCGGCGGTTTCAAGGATGGCAAACGCTACGGCAAGGGCATTAGCTACTGGGAGGTGGCCGACGCAGAGTTGGATCTGTGTCAAATTTGTTACACCGAGGAAATGGATGCAGTCTTTGCCGAGTGTGGTCACCTTTGTTCCTGCGTGACTTGTGCGAACCTTGTGAGCCTGTGTCCAATGTGCCGCAAAGAGGTCAAGAAGGTGATCAAGATATATCGGGCATAGAGTATTGGAGTATAGACGGGATGTTTCCAACTTGGTTTTTCTTTTTTCTTTTTTTTTTTTTCTTTTCGGCACTTACATCCATTGATTTCAGCGAAGGGTGATTTAGGATACGTGGGGGAGTGATGCGATTGATTTTATATATACTCACATACTCATATACTGCTGGTACATTTAGATTGTTGATACACATACTACATACTCGAATAATTTGAATATCTTTGATTTAGCACAATCATCTTACATCAAATTGTTTCTTTTTACTCTTTTTTTGTTATTTTAATTTAAACACAGTTTGATCTTAATTGAACAAAAGGTATATATATCCAATGCGCCGGGTCCCGGACCTAATACATGATGCTTTTGACTTGCCCGAAGAACGAAAAATGAAGAATTATACACAAGCGATACATGATCAAGTCATTGATCATTTGCTGGCCTTCTTGGCCGACTTCTTATCCTTCTTCTCGACTTTGGCCTTGCTCGCAGTCTTCTTCTCTTCCTTTTCCGTGCTGGCGGGCTTCTTATCTTCCTTGGCCACGGCCTTCTTCTCGCCCTTTGGCTCATTGGTAGACTTCTTCGAGGCAACGGTCTTGGTCTCTTCTTCCTGACTTGGCGTTGTCGTTTCAGTTGTCTTCTCTGACACCTCTACCTTGCTCTTCTTGGGCTTGTTCAGAACACCCTTGGGGTTGACACCCTTGCGACGCAGACGGTTGCGCTCAGCACGAGCGATGCGCTCGACATCCTCGGGATCATCGAATGAGCTGAAAGCACCACCCTCGAAATCAGCGGCGTGTCCGTTCTCATCAACAATTGGGGTCCTATCAATGGACTCATCGTCCGTGGAGGCAGCCGAAGAAACACTACGAGACTTCTTGGAGCCCTTGGAACGGGGTTCAGTATCATCCGACTTGGTCACGGGGGTCACGGCAGTCTTCTTCAGCTTGCAGACATAGAAACCATCAACGTTCTCGCGGTGAGGGAAGTAACGGCGGGTGAGCGCCATTTTCGGATCGAAAGTCTTTCCCATATAGCTGAGGAATCCAGGGCTACCGAAGTTACCAAGACCGGTGTCCACGACCTTAACATTGGGACGCTTGCGAAGCACGTACTGCACAACAGCCTCGTTCTCTTCGACTGTCACACTGCAAGTAGAGTAGACAATGTATCCACCGGTCTTGGAGGCGTGGTCAACGGAATCAATTGCAGCCAAAAGAAGCTGACGCTGCATGTGGGGAATGGCGAGGAAATCACGCTCGTTCTTGGAGGTCTTGACACCGGGATCCTTCGAGATGACACCGGTACCGGTGCAAGGAGCATCGAGCAAAACACGATCGAAGCCACCCATGGCCTTGGGGAATGCTGTGCGGGCATCCATGTTCGTCACAATGGTGTTCTTGCAGCCGAGACGGTGAATGTTACCAATCAAACCCTTCGCACGAGGCTTGCTAGCATCGTTCGCGACAACACAGCCAGTGTTGCGCATCAGGGCAGACATGTATGTTGTCTTACCACCGGGGGCAGAGGCCATATCGAGGACACGCTCATTAGGCTGGGGAGCAAGAGCCATGACAGGAAGGAAAGAAGAGGCAGCCTGGAGAATATAATGACCAGCGAGGTACTCGGGGGTGGCACCCAGGGGAACCGGAGACTCGAAAACTTGCAGGCCAACCTTGGACCATTTGCCAACGGGCTCGAGGACAACACCACGGTTGATGAGGGCCTGGGCGAGGGAGCGTCGGTTGGTTCGCAGAGTGTTGGTACGGATAACGACAGGGCGAGGAGTCTCGTTAGCTTCGAAGAAGGCAAAGGCCTCCCTGGGGGTGAACAGGTTGAACAGCTTCTCAGCCAGGAATCGAGTGTAGCCGTAGTACGTGCAGATATCGTCGAGCAGGAGATCGATATAGTCGGTACGCGACTTACCAGGCAGGCCGAGGGTCTTCAGGTCACCCAGAATTCGAATGGTGTCTGTGATGCGCTGGCGAAGCAGCTGCAGATCGGGGGCGAGCCCCGGCTGGGTTTGGTCGGCGAACACATCGGGTGCAGCGATGTTGGTCTGCAGAGCGGCTTCCTGCATTTCCTGCTCAGCAGCTTCCTCCTCCTCTTGTTGTTCGGCATCCAACTTCCGCGACAGACCCTCGATGTTTGCGGCGGTCAATCTCTCTTCGGCATCGGAGTCCTCGTCGTCGGAGAACATGGCTCCACGGGTGTGGCCTTCCTCGTCAGAATCGACAACCGAGTTATCATCCTCTAGGTCGGACAGTCCTTCAACCTGATCGTCGCTATCCATTGAGCCTTCACTGATCCCATCAAGATCACCGAACTCATCATCATCCTCCATATCCTCATCATCATCAGACATAGGCACAGGCACGGCCTTCTTTGTGGCGGACGGTTGCTTCTTAGATTCCTTTGAATCGGCCTTGGGAGTAGCACCATTGACCTTCTTCTTCTTGGGGGCTTCCTTCTTCGAGACAGTCTCATCAGCATCAGATCTGCGACGCTTTGCAGGTGCAGGCTTCGGAGGTGCCTCAGCCCCGCCAGCCTTGCGTTTCTTGAGCATTGTGATTTTTGTCTCGTCAAGCGGGGCCGGGGGGCCCTGCTTCTTCATACGGCGACCGACACCCATTGTGAAAAAGTGGTGTGTATGGGGACGTTAATGGTGTTTGCTTCCTGGGGGAGCTTGTAGATTCTTTCCGTCTTTTTTTTTTCTCTTCGGGCGGTGAATGCCGGCAGTACCGATGTTATGGAAAGCGGTGTGCTTTAAATTTATGCCTTATATTTCAGGTGCCCATTGTTGTCCTATCGACATCCAGTCGAACCTCCGGGTGCAGGCCTCCACTACTCCAACAACCATCGCCTTGGGTTTGCTTTCTCCCTTTCTATTTTTCGCCTTGAGAATCTCTACTACCTAGTCTAAATTTCTCACCATGTCGGAGCTGACCTTCACTAAATCATTCTTGTCCACGCTGGACTCGCGGCCTATCAAGCTTCGCGCTGATCATGTCTTCGACTCAGAACAAATTGGACTACGAGTCCCCGTGAGTCTTGATGCGAACAAACCCTAGCTTGACTACCGATGAAGATCATTCTAATATGCTTTCCGAAAACGATAGTACACACTCCCCCCGCCTTTCTGCCCCGCACCCTCCGATGCCCAAAAAAGTGAGGTCGACACAGGCACCAGGCTCATCCAAATCAATCACTGTTCGCGTCAAGTCTGCCCGCAACCCTGCTCTAGAATTCCTGATCTCCAATGCCCCTCTCTCAACCACCTCGGTCCAGGATATCCGGGATGCAGTACAAGTACGCGTCACCGATGCGCAGGGAGGCCAAGTCCCGCTAGACAAGATCAAGATCTTATACAAGCGGAAGCCAGTGGCTGGTACCGGGAAGACATTGGCCGAGGTATTGGCAGATGAACCAGCCATTCTGGCGGGAGGCAAAGAAGTCGAGATCGGGGTGATGATCATCGGTGGCGCCCAGGTGGTTGAATCTGCTGTGGCTCAACCGGAGATTACAGAGAAGCGAAATGAATCACCTCCCAAGGCTGCTATAGGTCTGAGTGGTAAGGAGGTGTTACATACAGAGGCTTTCTGGGATGATCTGCAAGGCTATCTCGAGCAGCGATTGAAGGACGAGAAAGAAGCAAACCGGTTGAGATTTGTGTTCAAAGAGGCGTGGGGCTCAGCCAAGTAGAGTATATCTGCAGGGCAGCGCAGCGAAATAATGTCAATATCAAATAATACCTGTATTTGTTCCAAGTCGTTTCACATGTCCCGGGTCCATGATAGTCTAACAAGGCCAAGTCTGCTCGATGAATGGTATGGATTCAAATGTTATACACACAACATGAGCTACCAGCGTCTAAGGCATAAGCTACACATGCAAATTCAAGCAGAACGAAAAAAGAAAGAAACCATCCACACCAAGCAACCGATACACCAAATATTGGGATCAAGACAAAGCCTATCAGCCACTCTTTGAAACCCAATGAAGGCCCTATCACAAGAGCGAATAGAACAGTATTCGAACAAGGTATGCCCAGTTTCTCATAGAAAGTCGAGCATGTAGCGAAACAGTCGAAGGGGAAGAAAACATCCACGCACGCCAGGGAATCTTTGTTGAACATGTTATGAGCGAAGTAAAAAGTACACATGTTGAAAAAAGAAATCGGGAAAAAAAGCAAAATCACGTAGGACAGTATCATAGGCCTCACGCGTCGGTGAACACGGTTGGAAATGCTCGAAAGAACTGGTCCGGCCAATCGCTCATCCAGTTCATGGGATCATACAGAAAACGACGAGCAGACGCGAAGAGACAGTCACACACATACACACACACACACACACACACAGGTATAACGCAAAAAGAATCATACACGGGTTTTCATTCCGTCGTTTCAATCATCGGGAGCAGACCTTGATCACACCGTCTCCACCACCGCCAGCGACCCAGTGGCCATCACTGCTCCATACCACGGTACAGACTCCTTCGCCACGCATCAGCCGGTAGCCTGTCAGCTCCTGAGTACAGCTGCGCTTTTCAAGATTCCAGAGTCGCAAGCTTGCGTCATGGCCAGCCGAAACGAGCTCACGTCCATCTGGAGATAACGACATTGAGGCTATCGCTGCAGGATGAGCAAGCATTGTGTATGTACATTGACCTGTATCAAATGTTAGCGTATTGTGGAGGGAAGCAAGGTCTTTTGCATGCCACTTACCACTATTGGCATCAAAGAAGCGGATGTATCGGTCCTCATAGCCACTGATGATTACACCCTCTACGCTGCTTGATCCAGTAGCTCCGTGGACCACTTCTTCTTCTTCGGCCATCGCGCGGTTGGGATCAAGATTAACTGTTCCATCAAAGCCGACAGTCGTAGCGACGACTGAGTTCACCCCAGTAGCTGGTGTGCCATCATATGTCTCGAGACTGGCCATGCCCGCAATTTCTTCACCGGTCCGCGTGTCGTAAACAATGATAGAGGCATCCGAATAAGAGACGACAAAGTTGACGCCCGCAAGAGACAGGGGGCTGATGCATGTTGGAGAAGGAGAATCGGGGCGGTGAATGCGATGAAGAATGGTGTAATGGAAAGCTGGAGGTGGAACGGCACTGGTTTGAGGCAAGGTTGGGTAGTTGGAACCGGAGGGCATTGAGTTTGAGTTCGCCCGCTGACGGCGATTCCCTACCGGGGCTGAAGGAATTTGAGGAGCGGCGCTGATAGCCCAAATAAAGACGTAGCCATCTGCTGCGCCGGAGGCCAGAAGTAATCGATCCGATCCACCATACTGGGCGCTTGAGTCGCCAAAGACAGAGCCCATGGTCCCGGGAAGAAGGCAGAGTCCCCAGACTGCATCTTTATGCTCGTGGAAAGTGGCCTTAGGATCAATTCGGTTACGTTCCCATAAACGCACGCTAGCATCTTGGCCACCTGAAAACACCAACCCGTTACCCCCAAGGGTGTTGTTCTGAGACGATGAGCAGGCGGCAAGAGAAGTCACAGCGCCTTCATGTCCGCGATGAGTAAATTTGCTCGTAACGTCCGAGCCATGGCCAGAACCAGCTCTAGGGCCACCAGAAGTACCTGGGATGTTCCATCGCTTGATCGTTCCATCATCGCTGCAAGTGCAAATCTCGGGCTCGTCTAGGCTATCATCACCGGTGAAGGTGACAGATCGAATCACATCCAAGTGGCCACGAAGCGAAAACTGGACTCTGAAGAGGGAATCTTGCTTTTGTGCTAAGTTCGCAGCCGTTTCCCGGGCTTCAATTGCACCTTCGCTCTTGCGCCTTGATCCCGAGTTATTCCTTCCGTGGGAGAGAGACCCGCCCTTGGTCGATTCGGAGCGCGTAAAGTTGGCATTTGGGAAAGCATCGGTATCCGGGCGATGAGGCGGGACGCGTTCACTGACCATGAGTTCCTGCTCCACCGGTTCGTCAAAATTCCACCCATCTACATCCTCTGTTCTTTCCTCGGCCAAGTTTTGCAGATTCACATCCTCCTTGACGACCACTCGGGGGCCCTGGGCCGGATATGCCCTGTTTGGACGATCATCCACTGTGCCCTGTTCGTATGTTTGGGTTCGATTTTCAATTCCTGCGACGGGAGCTTGCTGCTGGTCAATTGACCGCCGATCCATGGAATACTGGTTTTGAGCACGAGCCATGGCATTGTCGGAATAGTGATTGGACATCGGCTGGTGGTTTTGTAAGGCCAATTCACGCGCCATAACATGATTCGCCTTCTGCCGTTGCTGCTGAAGATAAGCCTCCTCCAGGTTCTGTTGCGACAGTTGTGAATTGCCATAAAGCTGGCCTGACATGTCGGAGTCGTTCAAGTCAGGTGGCGGGTGAGAGGCCGGGATAACGTGGTACGCGATTTCGTGGGAAGCTTTGGACAGGTATCCTCGGACTTTGTCTATATCCTCAATTTGACCCTCATGCTGGTTTTCGTGGTCGGGTTCTTCGTCATTCTCATGGTCCGTGCTGGGCTTGGGCCGTTGCGCTGGTGAACAACTCAGTCAATATTTCTACGTCGAGTGTTTATAATTGCGAGTGACATACCTTTCAGGAAGTTGACACTTTCACGTGCAGCATCTTTGGGGTCCTTAGGGTCTTCAGACTTTTCGTTGTTCGAAAGCTTCTTGACCTTCTCCCTCTCCCTCTTCAGAGCGATCTCCATCATCCGAAGATGCTTCGCAAGGGACTCATGCAAGCGTTTGCTTGTGCGCAGATCACCTTCCAATCGGCCAATGCGAGACTTCATCTCTGCCCTTTCAATCTCCCATGCATTGCGGTCGCGCTCGTGTCGGTGCCATTCTGTCTGTAGGAAGCGCATTACACCTGGAGATAGGTATCATCAGTCAATGGTATTCAAGAAATCAAGGAGATTTTTGCTCACCCTGTAATGTATATTCCGTGCCCTGTGGACCATTTGAACCATCCATGCCGCCGGGCATTCCTCCGATCCCAGCCATGGCTGATGGAGATTGCCAGGACATGAACAGACACAGGACAGGTCAAGGTTGAGAAGGGTCAAAGCACTGCAGGAGATATCAAGGGGAAATCAGGCTAGTAGTAAATCAAGTGACGTGTAAGGTGTAAGGTGCGAGCTTCGGTTTCTCCTAACCCCGGTAAATCGTATCCGCAGTAAGCGAACCAAGTCCCCTAATGGCGACAGCAAGGAAGCACGTTCCACACTGAGTCAGCCTGTGAATGAGGTGTCCTGAGGAGGAGGATGCAAAGGAGAGGAGCAAGGTCGGACAATGATAGTAAAGTTATGAGGAGGAGAGTGTACCTTCACTGATCTTTTGTTATGGTGAAGATGGGTTGCCCTCGGGGGGTGCTGACCGCCTTCTAGATGGAGAAGATTAGCCTGCACGTTACCTCCCGGGCTGGAGATGCATGATAATTTTGGTAAGCAATTGGATGAATTAGGGAGGGTTTCGTATTAATAAAGATACACATGAGAGAAGCTTTTGTGTGATAGAAGATTCTATAGGTTCCATAGGAACAAACAATCAAAAGCTGGGTTCTGCACATAGTATAACTATAGTTGAGAGGATTGTTGGTACCCAAATTCCCAGGCGTCAACTATATACTAGTATATAGATGTACTCCACAGCATAGATGCACCAAAGACTTGAATATTACCATTCTTTGATATGTATACATAGAAAATCTACCTTGATATTGAGTTTGATTGCTAATTAGCTCGTGGTCTCGTATAATAATCAATCATGCTATGGTAATTCTACTCGTCTAGAACTCAAGCTCTTCCACCTCCATGCCACATTCTACACACGTCTTGATACCAATTCCAGTTTCTGGGTTTTCAATGGATCGGCCCCATTGATGAACATGCTTCCGCCCGGAACCGAGATCATCGCCGAACTCTCCGCCCGAAGCACCTTGTCGATTGCGTCGGTAGGCCTCCACGCGGGTGCGTTTCTTTAGCTCCTGTAGCTTCGTTTTGAATTTGGCCTCCCGTCGCCGCTTCTTATCGCTTTCTCGCCGTTCAAATTCGGCATCTAGTGCCTCCGTTGAGCCCCATTTCTTGTCGGAAAACGCATATTCTTCGACTTGATATCGTAGATACAACATCATGCTGTTCCATGTAGATTTGTGTGGATTCGGACGCTCAAGGCGTGGAAGGAGCTCTTCGTCCCGTAGTTCGGCTGTGCGCAGGGCTAATCAGCGCGTCTCTCTTTTCACGGCCGACAATTAGGTACTCACGGTCTGTCAAGAGATAATCTTCTTTGGCTTCCGTCTTGGTCAACAAACTGTATTTTTCTGGATGCTTCTCCTTGCAAGTATGACAGATGCAACACTTCAGTTCTTCCTCCCATTTCCAATCAATCTCCAGACTACCACATTCACGACATGTCTTCTGCTTGCTTTTATCATCCAGGACACTTAGACCTGGTTCGAAGGGTCCCTCCCGATTTCGCTTTAATGATTGGAGTATTTGATGACGCTCCCATTCCTTCTGCGTCATATGTGCTGGCTTTTGTAATTCTTTCTCATCCAGCACATGGAGTTGTTTATTGAACGGGTCATCTTCTTGCGTCAAAAATCCACCCTTCGTGTCGGTCATCTTGCTAAAATCATAGTCGACATAGCTTGTAAAGTTTCGGGCTGGCTTGATCGAGTCTAATGGGCGATTTGAAGAAGATGCGTCGCGCATATTAGCAGGCTGATTGGACGCCGCCATCGAGGTGAATGAGCGCTTGGTGCCTGTTGCGGGCTGTGGGCTATTTGAAGCGGCTTGGGATAGTTCAGCTTCACGTTTCTCCCGAAGAGCTTTAGCTTTCATGCGACTAATTTCCTATCAAAAAGACTAGTTAGCTTTGGCTGACCATGTTGCAACCTTGGAAGTAACTTACTATCCTCCGTTGTTGTTCTGGAGTGATAGGACCGCGGGGAAGCTGTCCTGCCCCCGAGCCCTTGGGCTGCGAAGGTGGGGTTGAAGGCCGTTCTACTGACATCATCAAATTATGAGCTGAACAGTAACGACCGTTGTCCACAGTTTGGGTGATATGAGCAGCAAGACAGAAGGCAGAAGGCAGCAGGCAGAAGGCAGAAGGCGGAAGGCGGAAGGCGGAAGGCGGCCAGGCCAGGCGATCTTATAATCACGTGATATTTGGGTTTATCAATCGACGTCATTGGCCCACGGCAGAAGTAAACAAGAACACTAAAACACTAAAATCAATATTTTGGAGCCATCAGCCTGAATTGGCAAGAAAATCAATTGAACCGAGAAGCTATGAGTCTGCAGTCGGATAATCGAAGTCTTCCTCTCGGTCTTGGCCATACAAAACCTCACACACGCCCCCTACCGGCACGTCCATGACGGCGTCGGTTCCCTCACTCCAAATTTCTCGCCAATTGACCTTGCGATTTTGGGGGCCCATGATCTGATAGGAGGTGGCACCGGGTTTCATTTTGGTAGCACCACCGGGACGTCTTCGCGCCTTTCCGTCGATCACCGATACATTCGCGACCTCGTCGACAATGTTCTCGATGCTGTGCATGGGCAAGGTAAGGTAGCCTGTATTATATGTGGCAAGCGCAGCATAAATGTAGATAAGTAACATCACCAACCATGCGGGGATCGCCAGCGACCACCAACGGTTGGGATAATAGTAGATTCCTAGCTGATGGAGGAATGGAGATGGGAGATAAGACCATAGGAGATAAAACACTAAGTTAGTCTGGTCAGTATGCGGAAGATTACAAGAGACTGCACCGTCAATTCTTTTGCATGAGACATACAAAAAGCCAATGATGAAGCTAGGTATAACACGAAGCCATAGTATTCATAGGTAGGAACCTTGGGACTGGCGCGCGGAACGGTGGTTGCGCGACGGGCTGACTTGGCAACGGCTGCCTCGGTATCGTTGGGAGTCTCTACATCGGAGCTGTCCGGGGTAGTTGGGCGTGATGTAGTAGTCGAGAAGGGCGGCCGAAGAAGAGAAGTGAGTGATGGCGAGGGCGGTAGAGGGGTGGGTGGGCGATTGTAGAACGGAGGCGCAAATGCATTGGGGCCATGGAGAGAGCCGGAGGACTGGCGAAATGGATGATTCCGGTCAATATTAGAAGAATCATCGGAGTCGGTATCGGAAAATGATTGATGTTCTAACGAGTAATGCGACTGGAAATCCGCATCGTCCTCCACCTCGATCTCCTCATAGCCGGGGGAGGTGATATTGTCGTCTTCATAACTCTCTTGCGGTTCAGACGGGGATATAGGATCTTCGGCCAACAGTGGAGGAAAAGGCTGCTTGGCATCTAAGGACGAACTGAACGTCCTTGCTGAATTTTCCATTTTGCGAAATGAAGAAGAGTTGGTGTTGTTGGTATCTCCCCTTTTTCTGCAATCATCACCAGATTCACCGCCCATCTCTACATTCAGACTTGGACTTTTGGAGATTCATATTTGACGATATTTGACGATATTTGATGGTATTTGACGATATTTGATGGTATTTATTTTATATATGTACCATGTCATCAACAGCAACGTATAAGAATGAATTCCGTGATTTACCTTCTTGTTTATAGAATTGGACTTTGGGGTAGGCAACATATGTTGTATTTCTCTAGATCGACATGTGGACATCTCATCCGAGTTAACTAATCATGTAGGGACAAATCAAGGCGAAGGCAATACACACACTACTAACCTATCCTAGCGAGATATGCTTTAGATATGTTGAGATATGCATCCTCCAACTTCCGCAGCTCCTTTTCGGATCGAGTCCGTTGCAAAGGCGGCACATGCCGCTCTCGGCCCCTCCGACTCGGACTTCCACGAAAATATCCACCTCCCGCTTCCCCAACTCCGTACACTTTTCTCAATCTTGTGGTTTTTTTGGGGGGGAGCCATATCCTCGTTCTCCCAACTTAGTTTGCCTAAAGTGACCACCAACTATGAATGTCACCGAATTGGAGCATATCCGCGGGGTTTGGGGACGAACCAAAAATGACAGCCCCATCTATCGCCTTCTTCTGTCCGATGTTGATATTATTAGCGCAACTCGCGGCCAGATGCAGGCCCGACTTAAGCTCACAGCGGAACATGTCAATTCCCGGGGAACCATTCATGGAGCTGTCTCTGCAGCCATCATCGATTGGGCGGGGGGCATGTCGATAGCCACCCATGGATACGAGAGAACAGGCGCAAGCATTGATATCCATGTTTCGTATCTATCAACTGCTACCATCGGAGATACCCTCGATATCTCTGCCGTTGCTGATCGTGTGGGGAAGTCAATGGCCTTCACGACTGTCAAAATTTCCCGAGTTGTTGACGATGCAGTGGGCCCCTTGGTTTCAAAGGGTTCACACACAAAATTCCTGCCTGTCTCTAAGGAAAACCGTGACCTTAAGAGCTGAAACTTTATTCCAACGATGTCGTATATAGACAAGAATGTTCTTCCGATTTATTCAACATCTCTCTGCAGTTCTACCAGTTCTACCCCGGGACCTTCTATTCCCAATCATATCCTCCCCGTCGAAGATGTTATGCCACCATCCACAATGAGTTCCTGGCCAGTGATATACTGCGCCTCGTCACTAACTAGGAAAAGCGTAGCATTGGCAACATCCCACGCGTCGCCCATTTTCCCCATCGGAACTTGCGCGTGACGCATCTCCATGTATCTTTCCGCCTGACCATCCGCATATCTGGATACCATACATTTTGTGTAGGGGGTATCCATGAGCCCAGGAACAACCGTGTTCAAACGTACTCCCTTGGGTGCATAGATGACAGCCGTTGTTTTCATCAACTGAATGATGGCAGCCTTCGTCGCGGAGTATCCAACCTGAGACTTTCCAATGTATCTCAAGCCGGCAATGCTGGCAACGCTCACCACTGCACCACTGCCTTGCTGCTTCATTATCGGTAGCACGTGTTGACACATCAAAAACACGCTCTTGAGATTGAGGTCCACCTGGGAATCCCAAACTTCCTCCGGCATTGTAGCGGGACAACCTGGCTCTGACCTCCCGACGTTGTTTATGAGAATGTCAATCCGTCCGTGTTTAGCCATACAGGCTTCCACCAGAGCTTTTGTTGATGTAGCTGATGTCACTTCTGTTTCCACGACATGGCAAGTTCCACCCTCGGTCTCAATAGCCTCTTTGGTGGAAAGAGTTGACGCGAGCGTGCGATTGCCGCCGAAGATCTTCGCACCTTGTCGCGCTAAGAGAACAGCGATGGCAGCTCCAATTCCCCAGCCTTCGGATTGAGTTTGACCGAGGCCAGTGATGAGGGCGACTTTCCCGTGGAGAGACAACATGAGACTAAGTCGATATATAAAAACAGTGGAAGATAGAAGGAGATTTTGGGTTAATGAGTGACAATGCGTAGATATAAACACCTGTCTTACTCATATATGTGTATATATATATATATATATATAAAAATGCTTTGTTTAAATATCGAGGCCACCATACCTACTTAAAGGTAACAACGGGATTGGCCCGACGGGGTTCCCGCTCCCCAGCGGCACACTCCCGATATCCAATCCCATAGGCCCTCAGGGCTGACACATATGGGCGATTACCAGGATGTAGTGGAACTTTTCATAGGTTGGACATACTACACACGTAGATCTTAACTAGATGAAGTAAGGGTGTTGGAAACAAAGACTTGAAAGGACCGAGATTAGGATAATATGCCAATACAGTGGACATCTGGAGGGTAATTGAGTGTACTTGATGGTACTCGAGGGTACTTTGTACTCTGTATAACGTATGTTGTACTCCCTACATAACTATATGTACATTCTGCATAACTAGTTATGTAGGTGGTACAACACATACCACCTTTTCTAGTCTTACTATCTATCATCTATCATCTATCATCCAAAAACCCATGTCCTATATAAGATATATAAGATACATCAGATATGAACTATTCCACGTGAGAAATACCGGTTTATCTGCATGACAGTTCATAGGGCTTCAAACTCAACATTGGAACATTTGCCATGTGCTGTGACCCCCAAGTCTCCAGCCTCCACCGCTATATGACCTCCTTGCATTGCTGTAAATCATAGGAGAAAAGAGGCTATGTTGTATGTAGGTATTAACAAGGTTCTGTCTTCGCCTTGGAAATAGTACAATGATCCTTGTACTCCATACTCCGTACTCCATACTATATTCGATAAGATCATTATAGAGGGATATGAAGTATACCATATTACATTTATTTCATTATAACCTATCCAAGTACTCAGTAGTTAGTTAGTTAACTAATTCAAGATATCAAAGATATCAAGATATTCAGGGGGTGTGATTTCTTAGTGGAGTTGGATGGGACCCGCACCATCTGGGCCAATGGCTCTTCCTCCTGTTCTCTTCCTCCTTCTTCTCTTCTTCTCTTCTTCTCTTCTCCTCTTCTTCACTTCTTTTTATCTTTCGATCCTTTTTTGAATCAGCAATTGTGTGTACAAAGGTACTATTCCTATATAGGAATCTTCCATGCTGAATCCCTGCAATCCCTACAATTCCTACAATTCCCTCCAGATGGACATGCCAAGTACAATCGCCAAGGTCCAACAAAAGATCCACAAACTATCGGATCGACAAAACCCTCGACCTTTGAATTAATTTCCAGAGCCTATCAGCTCTTACGTGCACGAACTTGTCGAATCTCCATTGTGAGTGACAGGTCGCAAACCAAAAAAAAGAACATTGCTTTTTCTTTGCTGCTTCTTCTCCCCCCGCGAAATTACTGCATATAGTCACTTCCTCCCTGTCATTTCTGTCATTTCTGTCATTTCTGTCATTTCCTTGGCTTTTATATATCTCCATATATTTTTGTTTTGGTGCTTGTTTTGTTTTTGGTTCTTTTTTTCTACGGGGAATTGGACATTATACTCACAATGGCGAGTATAACGGTATATAACCACACTCCTCAAAATCATAGATAGAAATCCTTGCTAATATTTGAATATAGGATAATGACACAAATATTGGATCCTCACGAGGTGACGCGTCGACCACCTCGGGTGATGTTGCCAGTGATCTCACCGGTGGAGGAGGTTCATCAGGCTCGGCCCTGATGATGACTCTATTGCCTGCACTCGTATACGCTTTATTTTGGATTAGTCTCTTTCTGATATTTCGGCGAACTCAGCATCGATGGTACGCTCCGAGATCTTACTTGCCCGATATACATGAGAATCAACGGAGCCCCGAATTGCCTTCTGGCTGGGTTAACTGGCTCGGCACATTCTTAAAAATTGAAGACAATCATGTACTTCACCATTCTTCGCTAGACGGTTATCTTTTCCTGCGGTTTTTGCGCGTCTTGGCTGCAACATGTCTGACAGGCTGTGTGATTACATGGCCCATTCTGCTGCCTCTTCATGCCACCGGGGGCAATGGCAATACCGAGCTCGATATCCTGAGTTTCAGTAACGTCAAGAACCCCAACAGGTACTATGCCAATGTTATAGTGGCATGTGTTTACTTCAGTAAGTTTCTCGGGATTTCACTTGCAAACCAGCCTACTCACCCAGTATAGCGTTCGTGTTCTATGTCGTGGTCAGAGAAAGCCTATATTATGCGAACCTCCGCCAGGCCTACCTCAATTCGCCTGCCTACGCATCTCGAATGTCGTCCCGTACACTCCTCTTCATGTCAGTCCCGGATGCGTACAAAAACGAGAACAAACTACGACAAGTATTTGGAGATTCGATCTGCCGAACCTGGATTACCTCGGACTGCTCAAAGTTGGAAAAGATGGTTAATCGACGAGATCGACTAGCTGAGAAGTTGGAAACCGCAGAGACCAAGCTCATTCGACGAGCAAATAAAATCCGGACTGAAGCAATTCAAACAGGCGAATTGAATGTCGATATGTGCTTGGACTGTGAGTCAAGCAACCCAGCATGGTCTCACAAAGTCAAACGTCCCACGCATCGACTGAAACTTTTTGGCGAAAAGGTCGACTCTATCCACTGGTACCGGGCTGAACTCGCAAAGAAAACCGAAGAAGTATCAAATCTGCAAGCCAAACACCAGAATGGTGAGGTGAAACAGCTCAGTGCAATCTTTGTCGAATTCAACAGCCAGGCCGATGCACAAGTCGCCCTGCAAACCCTGTCGCATCACCAGCCGTTTCATATGACGCCTCGCTTTATTGGAGTCTCGCCCCGCGAGATTGTATGGTCGGCATTGAATCTTAGCTGGTGGCAAAGAATTGTTAGGAGATTTGCAATCCAGGGATTTCTGGCGGCGATGGTCATCTTTTGGTCATTCCCTGCTGCAATTGTTGGTGCAATTTCGAACATCACATACATCTGCACGCTAGTTCCCTTCCTCGGCTTCATTCTTGACTTGCCTGATGTTATAAAAGGAGCAATTGAGGGTCTTCTGCCTGCCGCGGCTCTAGCAGCGTTGATGTCACTAGTACCGATCATATGTCGCAGTAAGCTCTCCAAGTTCTCCTTGTTCCTTAAACCCCCTTGCTGACTCCTACATAGTATGCGCTAGACAAGCCGGAGTCCCATCAAAGGCACGAGTTGAGTTGTTCACACAAAGCGCCCACTTTGTCTTTCAAGTGGTACAAGTGTTTTTGGTTACGACCTTGACATCGGCTGCATCGGCTGCCACTGCACAAATTGTCAAGGATCCTCTCTCGGTCAAAGATCTGCTGGCGCAGAACCTACCCAAGGCCACCAATTTCTACATCTCTTACTTCATGCTGCAGGGATTGAGCATGAGTTCCATGGCTCTTGTTCAAATTGCCAGCGCCTTGGTGTTCAAATTTGTCACCACGTTCTTTGCCTATTCCCCTCGTCGTCTATTCCAAGGATGGGCGGAACTTGCCACTCTCAGCTGGGGCAATGTCTTCCCCGTCTTCACCAACATGGCTGTAATTGGTAAGCGCTGCTCTACGCATGCTTTAACGAGGATTAACTGACTCGACTCTTTAGCGCTGACCTATTCATGTATCGCACCTCTGATTCTGGGATTTGCCTTCCTCGGACTTTATCTTGTATACCAAGCCTACCGATACAACTTCCTCTTCGTATATGACATCGAAGTCGACACAAAGGGACTTGTCTACCCACGAGCCCTGCAACATTTGTTAACAGGTCTCTACCTGGCTGAGATTTGCTTGATAGGACTTTGCGCCATCAAGGGCGCTATCGGCCCAGTCATCATCATGGCCCTATTCTTGGTCGGTAACATCCTGGCACACATGTCGCTCAACGATGCACTCGCCCCATTGAATGCCTTCCTACCACGATCCCTTGATGCGGAAGATGAAATGCTTCAAGAGAAAGAAGATGCAGTGGCAGCGATCAACGAAGAGCGCCGCCCACGCGCAATAGCCTTTTGGAGATGGTTTCACCCGAACGTATATAAAGATTACGCGGCATTACGTCGAAAAGTTCGCCGCAATGTTGAGGCGGTCTTCTACACACCGGAAGAGATGCGTACAGCATATTGGGAGCCATGTGTGGCATCGCCACCACCGACGTTGTGGATCCCACGCGACAAGTGGGGTTTCAGTAGCCATGAGGTTATGGAGACAGATTCGACAATCAACATCACGGATGAGGGTGCGCACTTGAATGAGAAGAACAAGATCGTGTGGGATAAATATGACCCTCATCTTCCTCTACGGGAATTGAAAACCCTGTACTGATCTTGAATATCTGCCATGGAATTTAATGACTTGATGATAGCGATGGATTTGGGGGGCCCTTTTGTATATATATGCTGATATTGATACCGAGGCTGCTGAGGATCAAGTACTGTCAAATGCTTATAATATTTTCGAACCATTTCTTCAGTACCACTCGCATCATGGAGATAAACCTTCATCAGACAGTCAAGGTAAAGTTGACAGCATTTACAGCACCATTATCCCGCGGGAAAAACTCGAAGGTGAACACGGTCGATTGACCGGCGGAGATGACAGAGCTAATTGCAGATGAAGTGAGGATTACATGTGAATCGTCCCAGTTATACTGGTTGCTGTAGGTCTAGATCGATACATTAGTATATACATACTTAGAGGGGGAATAGAGCTCAACTTACAGCTCTCGCTTGCTGGATAGGACCGAGTGATACCGTCCAGTCATCGACCAGGTATGTTCCACTCTTGGTCAAAGCCTTTACTGCAGCGACCGTTGGTAGCCCACCCCAGGTGATTGGAATTGATAGGTCAGAGCCAGAGACAGACGAGGCCACAGCCGATGTGGACGACAGAGTTGGAGCCTTCCATTGAACAATTTGGATAATAGGGGACGAGTCACCTCCCGAGAACTTCAAGGTT